AAAAACTTTCCAAATTTTGTAAAAGGCATGACAGACACAAGAAGCTGAACAAATCCTAGGGAAGCTAAATTCAAACAAGTCCACATGAAGTTACAACACAAACTTCTGAAAATTAAAGTAAAGAACTTCTGAGAGTAGCCGATACTCTCAAGAAAAACAATACCTTTATTTTGTCATTCAAAACCAATTTGAATGACAGCTGATTACTCATTAGAAGCCATAGGGGCCAGAAGGAAGTAACACACATTTTTTTTTAAGCATTAAACTGTCAACCGAGACTCCCGTATCCAATGAAAATATCCTTCAGGAATGCTGAGGGGAAATCAGGAAATCCTCAGATTTAAAAAAAAACACAACAACAACAAAAAAAACACACCTATGAGAATTTTCCACCAATTGACAGGTTCAACTGACTTTTTAAAACGGTGCAAAAGCTATTGAGTGGAGGAATGCTGGCTTTTCAACAAATGGTTCTGGAGTAATCACATAGCCATAGGCAAAAAGAAAAGAAAAGAAAACAAAAGAAAAGAAAAGAAAAGAAAAGAAAAGAAAAGGGGGAGGGGGAGGGGGAGGGGGAGGGGAGGGGAGGGGAGGGGAGGGAAGGGAAGGGAAGGAAAGGAAAAGAAAAGAAAAGAAAAAAAGGAAAGAAAGGAAAGGGAAGGGGAGGGGAGGGGAGGGGAGGGGAAGGGGAGGGGAAGGGGAGGGAGGGGAGGGGAGGGGGAGGGAAGGGGAAGGGGAGGGGAGGGGGAGGGAAGGGAAGGGAAGGGAAAGGAAGGGAAGGGAAGGGAAGGGAAGGGAAGGGAAGGGAAGGGAAGGGAAGGGAAGGAAAAGAAAAGAAAAGGAAAGAAAGGAAAGGAAAGGGAAGGGAAAGGGAGGGGAGGGGAGGGGAGGGGGAGGGGAGGGGAGGGGGAGGGGAGGGGAGGGGAGGGGAGGGGAGGGAAGGAAAAGAAAAGAAAAAAGAAAAGAAAGGAAGGGAGGAACCTTGACCTATATCTAGTACCTTTTACAAAAATTACCATAACTAAAAATGGACTAAGTACTTAAATGTAAAACATAAAAGTTTGTTTTTTTTTTAAATCACAGAAAATCTTCTGGACTTAGGACCAGGCAAAGGGTTCTTAAATTTAAGAACGATAGCACAATCCATAAAAGGAAAAAAAAAGATAAATTGGCTTTCATCAAAATTAAATACTTTTGCTCTGTGGAAGACCCTGCTGAAAAGATTAAAAAACAAGCTATAGAGTGGGGAAAATATTTGCAAGCCACGTATCTGACAAAGGACTAGTATCTAGAATATAGGGGATTGGCAAAAGTAGGTTTACAGTTGTAAGTATGCAAAATAGTTTATTCTTATATTATTTATTAATTATTGTATTATTTTCCACACAAACAACTGTAAACCTACTTTTGTCTACCCCATATAAAAGAACTCTCAAAACTTAACAGGTAACCAGATAATCTTATTGGCAAATGGGCAAGAGACATAAAGACACTGCAGAGAATATAAGATAGGAAATAAGCATGTGAAAGGCTGTTTAATATCATTAGTCATTAGGGAAATGTACATTAAAACGAGATAACCCTTCATACCTATCAGAATGGCTAACAGAAAAAAAGTTGCTCTACCACATGCAGAAGAGGATCTGGGAAAGCTGGATCTCACGTAAAGACTGCTGATAGGAATAATGGTACAGTTGCCCTGGAAAACAATTTGGTAGTTTTTTAACTAAATATGCAACAAACATATGATCCAGCAATTATGGTCCTGGGCACTTATACTAGAGAAATGAAGTCTTACATTAATGGTAACCTGACATACAGTTTGCAACTGATATCAGGGACTGGTTCTAAATTCTTTTCATGATATACCACATTGCCTTTAGTTCTATGAAGGATATGTACTTTCTTATTGTACTGGCTTTCCCAATTTTCTAAAATCATTGTTTTTAACAAGGACAAATAAGACATTTTTCTTTCTTAAGGTGAGGAGGGCAAGAAGATATCATTCAAATACTATACTGGACTTGCCCTGACCAGTGTAGCTCAGTTGGCTGGGCATTGCCCTGCAAAGCAAAAAGTTGCCAGTTCACTTCCTGGTCAGGGTCCATGCCGAGGTTATGGTTCAGGTCCCTGGTCAAGGCCTGTAGGCTGAGGCGACATTGGCCCGTCAATGTTTCTCTTCCTCTCTTTCTCCCTCCCTTCTCCTCTCTCTAAAAATAAATTTAAATAAATTTAAAAAATGGACTTTACACATTTGAAAAATCAGAGACCATATATTCCCATAGCATAATTGACATATAATTTACATACCATAACATTTATCCTTCACCCACTTAGGTGTATAAGTCAGTGAATTTTAGTATATTTACAAAGTTGTGCACTGGCACCACAAAGTAATTTTGGAGCGCTTCCATCAGCCCAAATAGAAACCTCACGCTGCATTTACTCCTCGATTCCACTCTCAGCCCTTGACAACCCCTAATCTACTTTCTGCTTGTATAGATTTGCCTTTTCTGAATGCTTCATATAAATAGAATTATACAATATGTGTTGTTTTATGTCTAGCCCTTTTCACTTAGCCTAATGTTTTCAAGCTTCATCATGGGTGAAGAATATTCCACTGCATGGATGTACCATATTTTGTTTATACACTTTTTTTTCCTTTTCCTTCCAGTTAATGAACTTTTGAGTTGTTTCTATTTTTGGCTATCGTGAATAATGCTGCTATGAACATTCACATACAGGTGTCTGTGTGGACAAATGTTTTTATTTCTCCCACGTAGATATCTGGAATTGAAATTTCTGGATCACATAGTAAGTCTACGTTTAACTTTTTAAGAAACCGCCAGACTTTTCCAAAGTGACTCCACCATTTTATATTCCCATTGTCAGTGTATAAGGGTTCCAATTTCTCCACATTCTCACCAACTCTTGTTTTTTTTTAATTCTAGACATCCTAGTGGGTGAGTGGTATCTTCTGGTTTTGAATTGTATTTACCTAATGACTGATGATGTTGAATGTCTTTTCATGTACTTATTGGTCATTTGTATATCTAATTTGGAGAAATAGCTATTCAAATCCTTTGCCTACTTAAAGAATACTTTAATTTTTATAGTAGTTTTAGGTTCACAGAAAAATTGAGTGGTAAAGTGCACAGACTTCCATACACACCTTACTCCTCCCCTCCCCACACATGCGTTCACAGCCTCCCCAACGTCAACATCCCTCGGGCTAAGTGATACATTTGTTATAATGACTGAACCTACACTGACACATAATTGCCACCCAAAGTCCATAATTTACATTAAGGTTCACTCTATGGGTTTGGACAAATGTATAATGACAAGTATCCACCGTTATGGTATAATAAAGAATGGTTTCACTGCCCTAAAACCCCTCTGTGCTGCACCTATTCATTCCTTCCTCCTCCCAGCCTCTGGCAACCAATGACCTTTTCATTGTCTCCATAGTTTTCCCTTTTTCCAGGATGTATCATACAGCTGGAATCACACAGTTTGTAACCTTTCGATGGGCTTCTTTCACTTAGTGATATCCATTTAAGTTTCCTTTGTGTCTTTTCATGGCATTATAGCTCATTTCTTTCTAGCGCTGAAAAATGTCCTATTGTTTACAGGTACCACTGCTTATTTATTCATTTACCTTCTAAAGGACTTCTCGGTTGTTTCCAAGTTCTGGCAATTATGAATATAAACATCCATTGCAGATTTTCTGTGGACATAAGAATGTTTTGCTTTGTTAAGAAGCTGCTACACTGCCTTCCAAAGTGGCTGTATGATTTTGCATTCTCACCAGCAATGAGAGAGTTCCTGCTACTTTACATCCTCAGCAGCATTTGGCATCACCTGTGTTCATTTTTAATTAGACTGTTTGTCTTTTTATTATTGAGTTGTAAGAACTTTTTATATATTCTAGCTACAAGTCTCTTATGAAATATAAGATTTAGGAATATTTTTCCCCAGTTTGCAGGTGGCCCTTTTCTTGTTTTAATGAAAACGAATATTAAACACTAAATTCATGATAATGGTTACACTTATCAGGAGGCAGGAGCATGGACAAGGTTAGAATTGCACAGGTCGTATAGTTGCTATGAGAGGTAGAGCAGAGACTCAGGAGCCACTACCTAGGAGGTCTGAACCCAAAGCTGTCAAGCAACTTAGTCTGTATCTCAGTTTTCTCATCTATAAAATGAGTATAATATTTATCTCACAGGTGTGTTGTGAGGCTTAAACAAGTTAATGTGCAGAGAGAACTTGAAACGGTAGTTACCAGGTACGCAGCATGCTTTATAGAAACCTTAATTGTACTACCATTTCTTAAGTTAGCAACTGGGGTTCAAAAGTTTTCATTTTATTATCATGTTTTTTCACTTATTGTGTGACCTGCTTTCTTTTGCATAATTCATTTAAACGTACAAATACATTTTAAAATAAAAGGAGAATAGAATTCAAATTTTTAACTCTTTAAAGTGGGGAAGACTGGGGCTAAGTGCAGGGCCACACCCCGTGCCGGCCCGGGGCCCAGAGCCCAGCTCCGCCTGGGGCCGCTGCTCCTTCCCCGACACTCACGAGGTACCTGTGGACCGCACCTTGGGGAAAGACCCCAACCCCGGGCAGGAGTCAGGGGAGGCGCAGAGGACCTAACGTGGCAAGTGACCTAGACTCGGCGCCACCTCAGTTTCCTCACCTGTAAAATGGGGATGCAAACGGGGCCCACCTGACCTATGCGATTAAAGAGGGCTAGGTAACTACCAAGTGCGACTCTTGTCATGTTGGCTGCTATGTTTCCCTTCACACTTCCAGGCTCTCCACGTTCAAAGATACCTTCCCGGGCTGTGGGAAAAGCGCTGAGAAGCAAAGGGCAGGAAAGCGCGTTCACAGCTACACCGCGCTTCGAAAGAGTTGATTTATGGTGGGGTAAAAACTGCAGAGAAGCCGCAGAGGGGCCACGCCGGCGTCACGGGCCGTCCAGGAGCCATTACCTGCCTCAGCCGTCACCTTGGAGCCCGGGGCCCTCGCCTCGGGAGCTGACCGAGAAAGCTCTGCGAAGCCTGCACGCCAACGGGCGCTTCCACACGAGCGCCGCCGGACGCCGCGAGACCAGGCGGCTCGACGGCCGGGAGCCCGACACAGGGCCGCGGCCAGCCTGGGGCCCGAGCGCCCCCTGGCGGCGCCGCGGGGGGCCGGGTAGGCCCTCCCGCCGCCGAGCTTGCGTTTCTGTAGGCAAGTGTGAGCAGCCTCCAGCCGATTTTCTCCCTCCCAGAGATCGAGGCCTCCTGGCCAATCAGAGGGCCCAGAGCCCACCTCTCGTCCTCCCGTCCACCCATCCAGCCGTGGAGCTTAGGGGGCGTGGCTTTCAAGTTTAGCCAATGAGAAAAGATTTTCGTCCTCCTGCCGCTCTAGCAGATTGTAAAGGGGAGGGCTGGGAAGTGGTTTCTGCAGCAAGATGGCGGCGAGCAGCCTCCGCCGGGCTGGGGCTGCGGCCAGCACCTCGGTGAAGCCCATTTTCAGTCGGGACATGAACGAGGCCAAGCGGAGGGTGCGCGAGCTGTACCGCGCCTGGTATCGGGAGGTGCCGACCACTGGTGAGAGGCATCGGCGTACGCGGGGCTCCGGAGGCAGCCGCTCAAGGTCGCAGCCGCCCTGGCCTCCGCTTTCTTTCGTGCCGAGCTGAGGTCACCAGCTTGGGGAGAGGCGATCCTTCATGTTTCAGGGGAGGAGGGTTACACGATTCTTGGTGGACCCGACGGGCAGCGGCGCCGGGGTCAGACCAGGCGTGTCCAGCATCCGCACCGCGCGTCTAGCGCCCTCGGCTCCCTTGTTCCGCCGTGATTTTTGACGAAACCCTGGGAGGGAGAGCAGGGACTGTCAATGACATACTAATTGTATAAGGGAGGGAACTGAGGCACCAAGAGGCGAAGTGACACACCCAAGGGCCAAAGCTAGCTGGTGGTGGATCTGGAACCCAAGGTCCACTCGAGCGTTACAAAGGATACTTACAGACGCCCCTAGAAGACCTGTATAACCAAAGTGGCTGCAGGGCTTGGGCGATCATGTGGTACCCACATCTGTCACCAAAAAAGACACTGAACCAGAGAGGGGAAGTGATTGTCCCAAGGTCATCCATAAGTCAGTGATGCCTTTTCCAAACACAGTAAAATGTTTTCCCCTTCCCCCTCCAATCTCCCAAGTCTTGTTCCTTCTGTTCTTTCTACCTGCTCCTTGTAATCCTTAGGAACCCCTCCTCTCCACCCCCTGCTGGGCTGCCCTCTACTGCTTCAGAACCCCTGCAATCACTTAGATGTCAGAAAGCCAATCTGTTCACCAGATGCATTAAAATATAAGCTGCGGGGTGCAGAGGGCTTTTCTTATGGCATCGTCCTCAGTGCTTCCCACCCAGTGTACCTGCTGAAAGAAAGGTTGGGAGAAATCCCATCTAAACTGGCAAGGACAGTCAGTACACGTGCCAGAGACTGGATATTTTATTCTGTTGATTTAGTGTGTTTTAATGCAGACTGCCACTGCTGGTCTAAAGGGAAAGCTGTTTTTAGGGCAGCTGGCGCACCATAGCACCCTTCAGAGCTGGCACTTCCTCACTTGTGTTTACAGAGTAGAATGTGGTGGTTACTAGACTTGCTTCCAGGCCTTGCCCCTTAGCTGTGTGACCCTGGGCAAGTTATTTCATCTTGCTGTGCCACAGTTTCCTTATCTATAAAATGAGGCTAATAATAGTACCTTTTACAGAGAGCTACCATATTAAATGGGGTAATATGTCTAGAGTGCTTAGGAGAGGGCCTGGCACTTAGGCGCTCATTAAATGTTGGCTGCTACTGTTGTTTTTCTTGTTATCACCATTGTTATTTATAGGGCTTCCCCTAGCAGGACACTCCTTGTAGAAGTTCTTTGATGGATAGGAACTGTGACTGCTCCACAGGGTCCCTGTCCTCAAGCTGACTTTTTGAGATGCTGTTGATGACCAGAGCTTAAACCCACATAACACTAGGGAGAGAGAAACTTGAGTGAACTACTGCTTTCAAGGACTGCAAATTCAAGTGCCTTCACAGGACAGGTGGATAATAGGTGTGGGGAGTGACAGTAGCAAGTGTGTTTGGAGTGTGTATTTAAAACTCAGATGTTCCAAAACATAATGTTTCCCTAGTAGGATACTTCTATGAGTGCCCAGAGCCCTTTCTAGTTACAGGGAGGAGCAGGAGGTAGGGAACAGTTGGAATTGACTTGCATCAGGTTTTCTCAATAGCAACACTTGTGCTGGATAATTTCAGGTGCTGTCCTGTGCATTGTAGGATGTTAGCAACATCCCTGGCCTCTATCCTCTAGATGCCAATAACATTCTCCCCCTATTTGTGACAAACCAAAATGACTCCAGACATTGTCAAATATTGGAATGTTGGTGGGGGGGGGGGGAGCGCGTGGGCGGGATGATGGCCAAGTCACCACTGGTTTAAGAACCATTGATTTAGACCAAAGAACAATTCAGGAAGCTGTAGCCTTTCTCACTAGTGAAGGGTTGTGTTCAGGGTTTAGGATGGGAAGAACAAGCCAAGGACAAAGCTGTGGAATTTCCCTTTTGAGACAAGCGTTCTTAACCTGGGAGAATGGGCATTCAGGGATCTGTGAACTCACTTTGTAAGCAAAACTTTCCATTTGTGTGTGTGACACTTTCCTGAGGAGGAGATTCTTATGCCCAATGCCCTGGTGTGTGGTTTGAAAGTTATGAGGAATGGGGGTGATGGGAACCAGCTCCCCGGGTATGCCTAGAAGCACCCTGTTTTTTTTCTCCCAAGGTGGACAGGAATCTAATACAAAAATTCAGGGAAGAGTTGTACTCATAGCGGGGAGAGAGACCTCATATTGATTTCCTTAAAAGAACACCAGTTATAAAATTAAAAAACAAAACAGTAAACATTCTGGACTCCTGGCCTCTGCTTGCCAGGAACAAGCAGTATGACTGCAAGCAGGACCCCACAGTGCCCTGGGCCTCACTCCCCCACCCCAAATGGGAAGATTCTAAATTCCAGGATCCGTGTTAGTTTACATTTATTTTTTGTGTCTTTCTTATTCTCCCTTTGTCTGCTGTTACAAAAGCCCTAATATGATACGTAGTATTTTATTTTTTTAAGATTTTACTTTTAGACAGAGCAGAAGAGGGGGAGAAAAACATCAGAAAAACATCCATATGTGGTTGCCGCCTCTCACTCACCCCCAACAGGGGATCTGGCCTGTAACCCAGGCATGTACCCTGACTGGGAATTGAACCAGCAGTCTTTCAGTTTGCAGGCTGGTGCTCAATCCACTGAGCCACACCAGCCAGGGCTTAAACCTAGTTTTCAAGAGACCTCCATGTGCCTTATCTGAAGTCTCAAGTCATGGAAGTTGCAGCATTATTTTAGGCACTTAATCAGGGGTTGCTGAATATTGTGATTTCATGTTTGCATTCATGGATAGCAGTCTCTCCAATTAGAATTTAAAACAGAGCCCTGCTTGGTGTGGCTCAATGGATTGAGCACCAGCCTACAAACTGGAAGGTCGCCAGTTCAATTCCCTGTCAGGGCACAGGCCTGGGTTGCAAGCCAGGTCCCCAGTTGATGGCATGCAAGAGGCAGCCCATTGATGTTTCTCTCTCTTCTCTTTCTCCCTCCATTCCCCTCTCTCCCTCTCTCCCTCTCTTCCCTTCTCTCTGGAAATAAGTAAAATCTAAAAAAATAAAATTAAAAACAAAAAATTTAAAACTGAGAGAACAGGCCCTATATCATAAACTTTTCTCTCCTTCCGCCAGGACCTATCATGGTCGTTGCTGGCTGGACTGAAGCCTCCCTCCCTGCACAGTCCCTCAGCAGTGTCCCTCAATGCCACCTTTGTGTGGCGCCCAGATCCACACCACATTGTTTTATTCTAATTTCAATGCATTATCTTTTACCAAATGTTCCATATAATAATAATGCTAACACATATTGAGGGCTTATTCTGTGCCAGGCACTGTTCTAGGCATCTCACATTGTCTCAGGATCCTCACAACAGCTCTGGAGTTATATGTGCTTTTATTCTCATTTCACTCATAAATGTCCTCAGGCACTGAGAAATGAACCACAGGATCACATAGCTGGTAAGTGACAGAACTGCAATTTGATCCCAGGTTGTTCATACACTTGAACTATGCTATACTGGTCTTGTCTCCCCAAACAAAACATAAGCTCTTTGAGAGCAAGTGCTACTTCCCACGCTTCTTCACATCCTCAAGCACCAAGCTTAGGGTCAGGCTAATATTTGGTGAATATAGTGAATGGGCAACCCGTATGCGTTTAATGAATATCCAGATTCTATTTAAAAAAAAAAAAAAAAAAAAAAAAAAAACCCGTGTTAACCATAACATTTCTACCCTGAATTGTTCTCTCTCTAGTAAACTTATTCCAGCTAGACATCTCTGTGAAACAAGGACGGGATAAAGTCCGAGAAATGTTTATGAAGAATGCCCACGTCACAGACCCCAGAGTGGTGGATCTTCTGGTCATTAAGGTAACCGGCCCTCCCTGACCCATTTAAAAGAACAGCCAACTTGTCCAGAGCTTTCAGTCTTCCCAGATGGACATTTTGTTTCCAAGATTAAAAAGCAACTGCTGGGTGAGCAACTGTTGCCTAGTGTTTCAAAGGAACTATTGAACCTGGAGATTATTACTTGGTTAAATAGATTGTAGGATTGTTCAAGGGAAAATCCATTGGGGCTTGCATTTTATAACTAAAAATTAAGATACAGGGATGAACATTTGAACTCTTCTTAACCGCTTTCCTAGAAGTTACTGCTTCACCTGGTTGTCAGTTTACAGCTGGAATAGACAGGCCAGTTGGCTGAGTCCTGGGTAAATGGGGTCAAATCCTGGCCCTGATTCTGTCTCTCATCAGTCACATGAGCATCAATGGGAGGGCGCTTTAGCATGTTAAGCAGAAATATAAGTTAAGCCAGTCAGGTTAGGCATCATGGAGCAGAGGCCTATTGACCTTGTAGACCAGACAACCACAGTTAAATGTTTGAAAGGCTGCAAAGATCATTTAGTCTAACAACCCTTTTTCCAGATGTAGAAATGGTGGTCTACGAGTATCTTACACCTACCCAAGGTCACTCATGTCAGTGCCAGAGCAGAAAACAGAAATAGAACCCTGGCTTCAGTGTTATATACCTTTCACTCGGCCACTTTGACTAAAGACCCCTCCCCTCACTTGTGCAGGGAAAGATGGAACTGGAGGAAACGATTCAAGTGTGGAAGCAGCGGACACACATTATGCGATTCTTCCACGAAACAGAAGCACCAAGGCCAAAGGATTTCCTGTCCAAGTTCTATGTTGGCCACGACCCATGAAGTCATTCAGTGGAAAGGTGCATGTTGATATTTAAATACTTGAGAGTACAAATAAACTCAGTATATGATGGTCACTTCATGATAGCATTTCATTGGTGAACCAATGGGAAGCTCCGTTTCTGGTCTCTCACTTGCCTGAACAAGTGGGTCAAGGGTGTACACACCACCTGTTTGTTCCATTTTCCTGAAGTGTGGGCTTTCCTGTAAATTAAATTGGATTCTCTTTCTCAGAGCCTCACATGTCTATAAACAGGAAAGATGAGGCCATCTGTTCAGAAATTGTCGTACTGGGTATGAGGCTGGATGACTTCATTATTCAGCTGTATTTCTGCAGCCTCCAGGATTGGATAGTTTAGTGTCCTGGCACAGACTATCCAACATTAGCTGGCTCGTGCTGTTGGAGAGGGAGGGAAGTAGGGCAGAGGAGCAGTGCTGTTTTTCCCTGGGTTTTGAAGAAAATGGCTGCTCAGAGGCCTAGCCCCTCTATTTGCAACAAGCATGGGTCCTTAAAATGAAATTAACTTCCTACTCAATTAGACTCCCTGCTAGGGACACAGATGTTCAATGCACACAGAACAGAGATATTCCAGCTGGTTTAAAGGGACAAAATGAATGTCGACCCACGTTAAAGAACTGATCTCTGTGTGCTTTGGATGGTAGTCCTCTCTGTTCCTTCCCTGGACTGTCTAAATCCTGGAAAAAATGGTTCAGTATATATAGTCATCCTCGGGATTCCCAAATTTTTCAGCACCAACAACCCCTTTATTATCCTTTCAGCTAAGAAAACCAAGTTTTGAAAGAATCGTTTTAATATTTTTAAGTAGTTTTAAACTAACCAAAGCTTCTATAATTTATTGCCATGTGACAATTAGCTCGTGTTACTCAACACAAAAAAAAAGCCTGAGGGTTTAGTTCACCTGTGCAGCTTCACTGAGGGAAAACAGACAAATTTCTGTTGGGTTTTTGTAAATAATGAAAATAGGTCTCATCCCCAATAATTGTGGATCTATAGGGGCCTGGAGACCCTGGGTTGTAAATCATAGGCCTGTTAGGGAACAAACAGCAGAGACGAGGAACTGTAACAGCTAGAGCCTACTCATGCTGAGAGACTCCAGCCAGCACGCAGTCATACACAGCTGAAGTTTATCATGTTTATTCATCATTTGATTATGCTCAGTGGACCGCACATCTCATCTCAGGGAACCTCCCAGAGCCTGGGACTCTGGGCTGTGGTCACAGACCGTGTAGGCGGCTTCCCTGGAGTTGGGAGGCTGAGGGTTTTCCCTGGGCCCTTCTGGCTGACAGGCAAGGAGGAGAAGCTGTAAGCATCACCATTTCTTAATTCAGTTAGTGCCTTCTCTTTCCTGTACTTCCTCCCTGACCTGTAAGAAAGGAAACAGCAGTGAACTGGGGCAGCAGAGCAGTTCCTTGTCCATGTGCTGGAAGAGAATTCCACAGTGGTCCTACCAAGCAGAAGAGAGGCAGTTTGGAATAAATTTGACCGTTCATTCACACATTTACTAAGCATTAACCACAGACCAGGCACCGGGGGCCCAAAGGTATAAAAACCACGTTCCCTGCCAGCAAGAAGCTCAAAGGCTAGTAGAGTTTGGGGTATGTGTATATGTATAAACAGGTGATACTAAGTGTCACCAGAGAGGTACTGCTCAGTCAGAGAAAGGAAGTCACTTTCAAACAGAGGAATATGGGAAGACTTTCGAAGACAATGAAGAATCAGTGGGAATAGAGCAGTGGGATATAGCCCTCCAAGTGGGAGGAACAATGGGCCAATGCCAGGAGTGAGTAAGAGCATGGGTAATCCAAGAAATGGCGAATACTAGGGGTAGGCGTGTGGCTGGGAATATGGAAGATGAGGCTAGAATAACACGCGTGACCAGCTCATGCCAAGCCTTAAATGCCTAAGGAATCAGGAGTGTCCTTATTTATGATGATAATGCAACCGCACAGCACGTATGAGAGCACCAGAGGTCAACACAAGAAAGCTGGATGGGATGGGCACCGTGGGAAGGGTTTGTGGCCAGTGGTGACCAGGCTACGGTGCCCATGTTCAGGCTGTGCTGGTGCAGAACTTGGTAACCATAGCTGCCCATGGTGAGAATGTGCCGTTTCTAAATTTCAATATGGAGCACTGTGATGAAGCTGTTTGTGGTGGGTGTGTAAGGCATATTAAATTGCCAAAAGGAAAGCCTTGGCTGGGTGGCTCAGTCGTCTGGAGTGTCGTCCCATAACACCAACAGAGGGTTCCATCCCTGGCGGGGGCGTGTACAAGAAGCAATGGATCAATGTTTCTCTCATTGATGCTTCTCTCTCCCTAAAAATCAACAAACATCCTCAGGTGAGAATTAAAAACCATTTTTAATTGTCAAGAAAATTTCGGGGTGGACAGAGCACGGGTACATAAAGAACAAATGAAAAGGCTGACTCCTTGGAAGAGACGCCAGGGAATTTGTAAGTCAATAAGACAGTTTCCCTCATCCAACATATAGAAAAGGCAAAATACAAACATTAGCCACCAAGTGAGTCAATTTATTAAAGCTCTGAGCTTCTGCTTTGAGTGTCCAGATGCTGTTCACTACCAGGCCAAACTGCCTCAGTTCAGACTCTCTGCCCCCTTCTTGCTCCTGATTCATGTAGGGGAATAGCAGGTCATACCTGTTAGTCGTCATCATCGTCGTCCTCTGGGACAAAAATGTCGTGCTCCTCAAGTAGAGCAGCAAAGTTCTTGCTAATGAGCGTCCCAACATAGAGAAAGGGGATCACAATGGAGAACACACGGAGGAGGCCGAAGGACATCTGCAGAGGGTCAGAGTGGTGGCTGTGAGCTCCAGGGCCCACCATGGCGGGCGGCAGAAGGCCTGGCCCTCTCAGGGTCATTCCCTCTTATGGACCCCAGACCCATCATGAGCAACTTGATTTTAAAGCCCTTGGGGAATTCAGAGCAAAAAAAATAATTTAGAAGAGATAAAGAGATTTTATGGCATCCAAGTGGATGCCGGAAAGAAAAAATAAAGGCACTCTAGACATCTAATAATTGGGGCACAACCTGGTAATTACTTGCAGATACCTATAAACAAACAGGTGAAAAAGTATTAAGACAGCTGGACTATAGAAATAAAGTTCAGCTCTACTTGAAGACACTAAATGAAAATGGATTACAAAAAGATGTACAGTGAAGGAATATTCTGTAGAGTTCTGGAAGTAACATGTTTCCTGATGACTGAGAAATCTGACTTCACTACATTAAATTTTAGAAACAGGTGTTTTAAAAAGTGAGCATGTCTTTATGGTCTGGGGTGTTTTGTAAAATCTCAACATTTCCTTTTGTATTTTTCTGTGGAGTTTCAAAAATAAATTTTTTTTCAGCTATGCCTTTTTATAAGGCATCTCTTCCGAAACATAGACCCTGCACCTTCCTGCTTCTTGCTATGAAACAGCCCTGAATTCACTTGTTTGTGTGAACTAGCATAGGCCAGCAGCCTAGCTTTTCAGAATTTTTGTTTTGTAACTCCCACACAGTCCTGGAGTCAAAAAGCAAACAGGACTGTTACATTTTACTCAGAAAGCCCCCGCGGTACTTACTGAGGGCAAGTGAAAGCATTAGTGGTGGAAAAAAATAGGACCTGGTTGGGGCTGTACTAGCAAGAAACCTGGATTCCTGGACCAAGCTCAGCTGCTAGCTTTGGACACTGGCTTCACCATTCTGACCACCACCACCTCCCCCCGCCCCTGCGCCCCCCCCCCACACCCTTCTCCATTTGTAAAAACAGTTATTGCAATAATCCCCTGCACACCCCTCAGGGCTGCAAACCCCATGGTTTAAGTACTAGGTCAAAACTCATTAAAAAAAATAATAAGTGCCGTCCCACGTACACTTTATTTACAAAGTTCTTTTATAATTCGTTATTTGACCCCATCAACTCTGAGGTAAACAGCAGAGAGGACACGTCTTGTCTATATTGGACGCATAAAGCCGAGTCTTCTGGCTCGGGAGGTGGACTTAGACACCCCGCTCCTCACCATAAGCTAGCGCAAAATGCCACTTTTCTCAGCTCTTGCCCCTCATCTTCAGTCTCTAAACACTCAGCTTAACACCGGGACCTAACCCCACCACTTCGCACCCGTCAAAATTAGCGCACTAGCGCAAAATTTTGTCCTTGATCCAGCCTCCGGTCTAAGGCGGTCGTAAGATTGGCCCGTGCTCCTATCAAATCAAAGCCGACCCGCACGTATTCCCCACCATGATTGGCCTCGGCACCTTTGCCCCGCCTCCAGGCAGACACTCACTTTCACCGGTTTGGGCAAAATGGCGCCGCTGCGAGTAACGATGACTGACCTCGACGGAACCAGGCTTCGGCCTGAGCCGCCCAGTCCGGCGGAGATACCGCCATCTTTCTTCAAGGTCGGTCCCCTCCGGAGAGCCACGGATCGGAGGGGTGCCAATACAAAGCAGCGAACCGCTCCGAACGCCATCCTGGCCCTCGACCAGTGCGCCTGGCCCCCGGAACGCCCTCAGAAAGAACGCTACCCGAAGCCTCGCGAGGCTTTCAGGAGCAGACGAGGCCCAACCTCACACTCGGTGCAGTGCGACTAGTTCCTGCTGGGGCGGGCGGGAGGCCGTTGTCGCAGTCCGCCCGACGCCGTGACGTCACGAGGACGAAGACGAATCCCTAATTCCCCTACAATCCAGGCCTAGTAGGCGGGCCAGTGAGCTAGGATCGATTGTGGTGGGAAACCTTCAGGTTTCTAACATTGTTCCCAGTCCAAGACAGAGTTTGCCAAGCAGCCCTCATGAGCTCGTTGAAATAAACTTGAGTAACCGAAGTGAGTAATAAAGCTTAGTGTTTAATAGTACAAAAAATACTGTCACAATAAGAAAGATAAAAGCCTGGAGTGTCTGTATAAAACGAGGGATGGTGGGCTGGGGAGCTCCAGCATGGGGATGGGAAGGCGGCCCCTCTTCTTCGGAAACACGCCGAGAACCGGTCCTGGCTCCTGGCCCAGCATTTCAGCCTCCTGGCCTTAATAGGCTCTGAGCCTCCGTCTCCAGCCCTAGCTGGGCTTCGGCCAGGCAGCCCGTGGCTGCAGTAAGCAAGAGAACAAGATTGTGTGTACCGGGGGTGAGGGTATCCTCTGCCCAGGCTCTGCATCTTCTATCCAGCCATCGCCACCATGTCCATAGGGCATCAGGCTAGTCTGGCCTCTGGCTCTGTGGAGCCAGCCACTTTGCCTTACCGAACAGTCAGAAAAGAAAGCACCTGACCTGCTGGGGACAGTAGCAATGAGAGGGTCTTGGCAGGGACACATTGGGTGACAAGCAGGACTGTGAACAAGTTCTCAGGTGGTTCCAGAAGCAGGAAGACCTCTGGCAGCCCAGGCAGAAGAGAAGAATTTATCACAGGGTACCAGGAAACCTGTGCCCAAGCTCCTAGAATGCCCAGGACTGAGAACCAACACAAAACGGACTGTCCCTGGGGAACCACACTGCCTGCCCACCTCTTCTTTAGTTTCCCACTAGGCAGCTCCAGGAGCTGACTGCTGCGGACAGAATGCAGTAAGAATTTCTGCTGACGTAAAAGCTACCAGTCCGTCCTAGGTCAACATCCAGCACCATTTGCTGACAGGATAGTCAGGGAGAGCGGGAGAGAGGATGGGAGCCCCAACACTTTCTGAGCAGAACCAGTCCCTCTGTATTGGCTGATGGCCCTCTCCCACCAAAGGGCCCTTCCAGATTGTAGAGCAGGGGTCACATGTCCAATCTTCCTGCCATTCAGGAAGAGCTGAACCCGAGACCCCCATGATATAATAAATCCACTTCCTCTGATACTCTCAGTCTTGAAACAAACACTGAAGCCAACTTCTGGTTTTTAGATGGGCACGAGACTCCCCAACATTGGAAACTGTGGCCGAGTCTGGCATGTAGGTGAAAGGCCAGGTGGCCTGTAGTCACATAATATTCCCTACCTTTTCCATTTCATTAATATCCCCTAAGAGAGGGGCAATACAGCCCAGTGTCAGGAGACTTGGCCCTCCCTCTGTGACTGTTGAGCAAGCCACCTTTCTCTCTGGGCCTCAGGAAATAAAGAGGTTCCAAATAATTCTTCAGTCCTCTCCAGGCACAGGGTGGATCTGGAATCTAGGGAACCCTTCTCAGAAAAGCAACTTTGGCCCTGGTCAGTTGGTTAGAGTATCATCCCGATATGCCAAGGTTGCAGGTTCGATCCCTGGTTAGGACACAAGCAAGAAGCAATCAAGGAATGCATTAATAAGTGGAACAACAAATCAATGTTTCTCTCTCTCTGTCTCTCCCCTCTTCCTCTCTCCCTAAAATAAAATGTAAAACAATTTTAAAAGTCAACTTTGGAAATGAGTAAACATCAGACTCCTGAAAAAGAACTGGACCTCGTGTCCTGACCAGCAGGACAAGGGCAGAACCCAAAGGGTCCAGGTTCAGGGATTATCCTGTTCCTCACATTTTGGCTGGTTCCCCCGGGCCCTCTGCAGCCAGCCTCGCCTCAGCTCCAGGATCTCCTGGCCATACCAATTGTGCAGGGTAGAGAAGCAAGAGGTCTCAGGGGATACGGGGCTCTGGCCCCTACTTAGAAGGAGGCTGGCAGGGCCCTGTAACTCACATTCAGCCAAACCCCGCCCTGCTGTCGCGCTGCCTGCTACTTCTACCAAGCCCATAGGGCTGCTATCCCTAGAGAGGGAGTGGCCTTTCTCCAGACCCCGAGACACGTGGTCAAGAGCCTGGGGATTACAGTGGCTGGTAATGGCCTTCCAGGATGAGTGGCGATGCAAGGCCAGGCTCAGGCGGGCATCACGCAACTGGTTCTCCAGCTCACGCACCACAAGGCGCATGTAGCCAAAGCTTGCGCGGGACAGCGCCTTCACCCAGGCCTCCTGGGCTGCAGGTCCATCAGCTGCAAGCAGGTGTGGACGAACACCAGGGGCGTCGAAGCGGATGGTGAAGGCAAATTCCTCAGGCACGGGAGCCTCCGCCAGTTCCACGGTGCAGCCCTCCAACACCACCAGTCCCAGAGGGGCCCGGCCCTCTCGACTCTCGAAGGAGAACAGCAGATTGCCCTTGAGGACAAACCAGCACCTTCGGCCAGTGCCACTGGGGGTGGATGGAGTCCCTGGGCCCCCCCAAGTGCGCAGGAAGCCCATGTGGTCTGCTGGAGAGTTGCTCAGTGCATAGTGGGCCACACTTCTCTTGTTCAGCTTCATGGCTCCCATAAGAACTGTGAGGCAAGAGAGGTGGCCACGGATCAGAGAAGGAGGCAGCCCCCATGTCCCTATGGGGAAAAGAGTGCTGGCCCTGCAGGAGACGTGCTGGCCCCGTGGCCTCTACTCACTTGCTATGTGCCTTGAGGCTCTCAGTGGCTTCACCTGTGACATGAGCTAGTCTCCCCTGCCTTTCTCTCCAAGGGTTGTTGTGAGGGTCAGGAAAAATACTGAGGACTCAGAAAAATACATCAGAGGACTCAGAGGAAAGGATGATGTGATTGTATCAGACTAGGAGTTAAGGCAGGGTTTTGACACAGCTTTTTAAAATCCAAAGACTCAAGCCCAGCTAAGATGAAATGGACCCCAAGCCCGTAGAAACCATTGTGCTTAAACTGTCCCCTAATCTGGGAGCCCCTTAGTGCCAACCCTAAGGTCAAATCTCCAGGATATGACCTTCCTGACTCATGGAAAACTGAGGCCCAGAACAGTGAAAGTGAACTGCACGAAGTCACATGGTCAGCAGAAGCAGAGCTCGGTCTCTCGATTCGATTCCCTCACACCTTCCAGGGGCAAGTCTTGGAAATGTCTCACTTACCAGCAGAGCTTGCCAGGCCAGGCAGGGGCCTCTCCTGTCTGACCACAAGGTTCAACCACTTGACCACGTGATTTCCCGTACGTCTGCAAAATAATTCTCACACCCAGTCAAGTTATCCTAAATGATGAGTACTCTTAACCTTGGGGCCCAGTGAAACCACCACCTCCTCCAGGAAGCCTACCCAGGCCTCTGATAAGCCCCCACCAAACAACCTACCCAGCCCAAGCTCCTAGTAACAATTTAAGGGGCTGGATCCTATTGTCCTGACTTTCACTATTCAGACCTCGGCTCCTTGCCCGCTGAGGCTGTCACAGTTAAGTGCCTTTATAGCTTCCGGTGTTTCCCTTCTAGCACTTGTCACATAGTTTATTTGTAGGCTTTCATTTAAATCACCTAATCTGAGAGGCCTGCCCTGATCACATTATCTAAGCTGCTGCTGACCACCAGGGTGGTCTGATCCAAGATGACCCAACCACAGCCCCCTTGTTTTGATTTCCTTCATTCCACAAAGACTTCCCCAGAATGTCTAGACAGGGACTTGGCTTGGCTCCCGCTGTCATCTCAATATCCAGCCCCTGCAGGGTCGGGGCGGCCCTCAGGAAGTACTTGTTGAAGTAACTGGGAATACAACAGAGGACAGAACAAAGGCTTTCCCCCCGAAGCCTACATTTCAGCAGGGGAGGCATGCTGTAAACAAACTGGACAAAAATAAATAATAATGAATGATTTAAAAATTAATTGAATACTAAATAAAGTAAAGACCGGTCATGACAAGGGCTGTGAGAGAAAATAGCAGGGTCGTGGAATGGGGAAGGGGCCGCTCTAGAAAGGGGGTCCGAGAGGGAGCTGGAGATCACAGAAGTTTGCTGGAGGAGTGGCCTCACCGCGGCCCTGAGCCCAGCCCCCGGGGGCAGGGACGGGGTCGGGAGGCCACGGATCTGTCCCCTGTCCCTTGCTGCCTGCCCGGAGATGCGTGTTTCCCCCTAGGGCCCTCCCAGGATCGCGAGGCCGGGACCGCACACTCGGCGGGAGGCCGGTGCCCTGCGTTTTTCCTGATTCTTTTGCTGAAGGAGCGGCGGGCTGGGACGTGGATCCGACCGGCCGGTGGACCCCGCGGTGGGCCTGAAACAGGGATCATTCCACTGGGACCTCCCCGGCGCATGCCTTAGAGCCCTGGCGCCGCTGCTCCCTCGGTTTCCCGGTCGGCGAAGAGAACTGCCCTGCCACGTCCCCGCGGGCCACGCCTTCCCGGGGGCCGCCTCGTCCCGGAGCCCGTCCGGCCCGCTCTCTCCTCCGCGCCGCCGAGCGCGCCGAGGCCCAGGAGGGTGGCCTGAGGGACTGGGCTGGGCAGCGCCACCAGGGGCGATCCGGTCTCTGGACCCTGAGCTTCTGCGGGGCAGAAAACTTGGCTGCGGGAGCCGGGAGACCCCTCCTGGGCAGCTCGAATTGCAGCCCCCACCCTCCCCACCTGGACTCACCAGGCCTGGGTCCCCGAAGATGCCCCTCGGTCCTCGCGGGAAGGAAACTGAGGCCCAAGAGGCCAGGACCTGCCTGAGCCACAGAGCTAGTCAGTGGCGGGCGGCCTCGAACCCAGGGCCCCACAGGGAAACCTCCGCGGTCCTCAGACTTATCTACCCCTCAACTTCCACACACCCCCCCTCCCGCCCCCCTCCCCCCGCCCCGAGGGCTCGGAGTCTTTCTCTTCTTACTCCAGTCCCCCTCGCCCTGCCCCGCCCACTTCACCGCAGAGCCCAGCCAGGGAGGCCTCGCCCCGGCGCCTCCTCTGGGCCGGCTCCTACTCAGCCTGCGAGGCCCCGCAGAGCTGCCAGGCCACTCATCTGGGTCCCTGGAGTCGCCAGATCTCTGCTTCTGGGGGTTATCCATTTCCGCTTGTGTCTCCCGCTGGCCTGCCACTCTCCCACCCCCCAACCCCCCGCCCTGGGTCCGCCCAAAGGGTAGGCGGGTGTTGCGGGTCAGTTTAATATGATTTCAAATTCACTTGCTTGTGATTTAAATGAAGTTGTTTTAATCCACTTGTTTATGGTCGAAACCAAATTTTTTTCTTTGATATAAGTATGAAGTTAGTTGTGCCAGGCTGTCATCATTCTACCTCTGTTGTTGTTGGTAAGCGGTTCGCAGCCCCGCTATGGCAAAAGGACCTTTACTATATATACCGAGAGTGTGAGGACTATTTGAGAGTTTCGATTTGGGCAAGGCGACTGTCTGATAACTTAAAAACTCTCCGAAGACCCTTGAGACATTTGCTCCTATGCTCAAGGCTACTCTTTGGTGGGTTGTGGTGTTTTAAACCTTGGAGAAGTGATAATCCTTTGAGCAGCTCAGCCCTCTGCACTAATACTGGCCTCTTGGTTCCCTAGCAACAGTGCTCTAGCAAAACGGGACTTTTACTTTTGCACTGCCAGCCAGAAATCAGCTTTTTGGTTGGTCACTGCTGACTCTCCAGAATGTGTCCTCGTATTAAAAGGTACACCTCATATTAAATTTGGACATTATTCCTTCATCTTCCCTTCCCTGGAACAATAGTGCTATTAATCTGTCATTTGGATTATGTGATTCCTTTATTTGGTTTATTAAGAGACATGCTATTAGCTTGTGAAATTATTATAATTCCCACAACAGACCTGTGCTAAATAAATTTTTGGAAAAAACAGAATCAATTTCCGAGTATAATGTTTGCTACCACCCCACCCCCCCACCCCAAATGCAGGAGGCAGAGAGTTTCCCTATGGCCCTGGAAGCCAATTAGTTCAAACCATCTTTCTGAGAACTTGGTTCCCACCTCAGAGCTTTTCCCCCTTCAGTTTCTGCAGCCCGGAATGCTCTTCCTTCTCATCCTTACCCCTTGGCTCTAACTCTTCAGGGCTCCTTCATGTCAATTAGGTCTCAGCTCAAATGTCCCCTCCCTGACCATACATGCAAAGAAGCCTATGTAGGGGAGGAAGAAATGTTCCTCTACCCTCCTACATTCTCTCTGCTGTTCAAATAATTAAATCAACATGAGAAATATTGACAAGAGAAAACAACCACATTTAATTGTATTCATAGGTACAGGAACCCCGCATACACGAGAGAGTCAGAGAGCCCACATACGTAGAGGTTCAGAGACAGAAAACTAAAAATAAGGTATGTATGACATCCCGAGCTAATGAATGCCAGGGGGGAGGAGATCAATAAGAATTCTCAGATTGATAAGAAGAGCAGATGGTCGGTAATTTGATGTATGCCCTGCCATATATATAGGCCATAAAACATCTCTGGTAATAACTCTATTACGGGCAAGGTGGTTTTACGGGGTGCAGAAGTTTCTTCTGAGTCACAGTGTCTCCATTGCCTTCAGCTCAAATAATCTATATGCCAAAGTAGCACATTTTAGGGATGCCTGTTTAAACCCTTTCCACCTGCCCTCAAGTCTATCACATCCTTAGGCTGTATTTTCATTACAGCACTAGCCACTACAGAAAACTTGCCTACACTCTTGTTTTTATTTCCTGTGTATTACTGGTCTTCCTCACTAAATTTTATTCAATTAATAATATAAGCCATAATAATAGTGTTAGAAGGTAATACGTGATGTGGAAAAAATAAAGCAAGGTAAGGGAGATTGGGAATTGTGGGAGTGAGGAGCATGAATTTTAAATAGGATCATCAGGATAGGCTTCACTGAGAAGGTGACATCTGATAAATACTTGAAGGAAATGATGGAACCAGTCATGCCGATATCTGAAGGAAGAGCATCCCAGGCAGGAGGAGGGCCTGGTGCAATGGCTTTGAGGCCTGTTGTTTTGAGGAACTGCAAGGAGGCCAGTGTGGCTGGGCTGTGGTGGGGTAGGGAGGGGAAGCTGTAGGAGGTGAGATGAGAATGTGTGGGTGGGTCTTGAGTGAGCTTTTAAAGGATTACTCAAACTGCAGTGGAGAATAAATGTCCATAAAATGTAAGCTGCAGCACTAATCTAGGCTGGATGTGATGGGACTGGGGAAGTCGTGAGGCGTCCAGATTCAGAATGCATCCTGAAGGTAGAGAGCGCAGCGTTTGTGGGGAGACTGAATGTGGAGAATGAGGGAAACAAGAGGCAGGGAGGACTCCCAGGTTTTGACTTGAGCACCGAGAAGGACACCTGCCATTACAGGAGATATGGAAGGTGGCAGGTGTTCCGTTTAGCGCCTGTTATGTTTGAGATGTCCATGCCCATCCAAGTGAATGTGCCAGGAATAGTGTTCGGCTCTAGTAGTCTGTCAATAAAATTTTGATGAATGAAATTGGGAAGAAGTATGCAAAGTGCCTGGACTAGCATAAAGGGTGTCAGGTAGGAAGGAAGAGAGCCTCCTGGCATTTCAAGGGCTGCACCGGGTTTGCTTTCCCCCACCCATTCTTCTCTCAAGCCTAGGCTAAGGGTTTTGAGAGGCTTACTACGGACCACGCTTCAGGGCATCCTCTCATTTCCTTTTAACAAAGTCCTTAGCAGGTATTCAATGCACAGCTATTTATTGAGCATCAACGAAGTGCCAGGCACTACCCTTGCACGCAGGGTCCGGCAGAGGAGAAAGGTCTAGCCTCAGGGGATCCAGGGCGGGAAGAACAACAGACCTCACGGCCCGAGGCGCTTTGTGCGCCCAAAGGAGGCGGGGCTTTGGGAGGTTCGGAAGGAGCTGGGCGCACAGAGGGCGGGGCACGACGTTACTAGGGGGATTCTGATAGGCTCCAACGGGAAAGGCTGAGGACAGTCAGGCCCCGCCCCCCAGAACGCGGTAGGAGAATGTTGTGACTGCCAGGGTTCGCGGCTCCCGCTGCACTGGCGGCGGCTGGTCGGAGGGAGTCATCCGGTGAGTGCCGCGGGAGGAGGACTCTGGAGTGGGGGTGGGGGTCCCCCGCGCTGGGCCTGCTGCCTTTGGTGTCCAGAGGCGACATCTCAGACCCGGTAGGAGTCCCGAGCCTGGTCTTGGCCTGGAGCCTCTCCTCTTCCCGGACGTCCTGGTGCCGGTGCTGCCTTTCTTTGGCCCCGGGCCGGGAGGAGGGCAGCCCTTGACTCTCAGGGCGCCCAGCACTGCAAAGGGGGTAAGATCTGAAGTCTAAGAAACCTTATTTAGTACTTTTGAAGGAAGAAGGGAGGTGATGGCTGGGGAGGGAGTGGGGGTAGTGAGGGCGGCTTGGGGATCCACGCCCAGGGTTGAAGGTGACAGGGCTAGCCAGGCAGTAGTGACTCCAGTGCTTTTCTAACGTTTCTTAGCTTCCAAAACCCAACATATAAAGCTGGTAAAAGCAGAGCAGATCTGGTCAGGTCCTGAGACGCTGAGCCCAGAGCAATGTTGCGGAAGACAGGTAATCTATGTGGGAAGGCGTGGCCTTGGGAGGGTAGGTGACCAGTTGGGAGCGGGGGCTACTTGGAGGGAGTCCAGTCCTCTGGCGTCTGGGCCTCCTCCGTGATGTGGACATGCGGGGGGACATGTTCCTCTTATTCTTGGAGCTGGCCAGGAAAAGAAGAAGAAATGCTCCCCACCTAGAAATCAGTTCCTCTCTAAAGAGGTCTCTTTTTTCTCATCCCCTCTCCCCCATAGTGCAGAGGCCTTACCTTATATAATATTAACATGGTGCTGAGAAGAGCCCTGTAAAGTTAGTACATTAACTCCATCTTACAGAAAAGGAAACTGAGACCCAAGAGGGAAAGGCCTCACCCAGCTGAGCTGGCTGGGTGCAGGTCCCACCTGGCTGACCTCTTTAGCCCTCCTGAGGCCTCTTGGGGATCTCTAATGGTCAGCAAACATCCTGGGTGAGACTCAGGAGACCTGGAGTCTGGCTACAGTGTACTCTCAAGTCCTGTGTGGCGCAGCTGGTCTAGGTATAGAAAGGAAATGACCTCAGCTATTAGTTTTTGCTAACTCGAGCACTGCTGGGGCAATGACAGCGAGTGAGGACCCAGGCTTCGAACACACTGCCCTAGTCCAGGCACCATCAGCCCACTCGCTGCATGCAGGAGCCAGCAGTTGCAGGAAGAGCCAATTCGGCCTGAAGCCCAGGATCTGTTCGGCTCATGTGCAGGCTGGGGACCTCTGCAGGGCTGAGCAGCTTGTGGAGGGGGGTGGGGTGAGGGCGGGGGCTATGGGAGTCACTCATAGTCATCCACCAACCCTCCTACAGTGCTCTTGCTGGCCCTGGTGGACCAGGTGCTGGTGCTAGAGAATGGGCTCCTGCGGAAGCCACCCATGGGCTGGCTGGCCTGGGAACGCTTCCGCTGCAACATTGACTGTGATGAGGACCCAAAGAACTGCATCAGGTGAGTAAGGTCCACACCACCTGGCAAGCTTTGCCAAGGGCCCTGCAGAGTCGGGGCAAGGAGGAGAGGGTCATTGAGAAAAGACGACAGGGTCAAAGAGCCCCATCTCTCATCCTAGAGAGACTGAAGCCATAGGTGACTTTTGGGACACCTGACCTGCTGGGGGCCTCTGTGGGGCCTTGCAGGCTGTGGGGCAGGTACCTTGTAGTGGACTCGAGCCCTGAGAGAATCAAAAGATCACTGTAAGGCCAGGCCAGACCTCATAGTGCTTCCCCTGGCTCAGTCCTGCCTCTTGGCCTGGTGGCCAGACCATTCCTTTCAGCTTCACACTGCTTAGGGCTCATAACACAGTCCCTGTTGTCCTTTACAATTGTTATCTGGCTTAGTCTTCAGTTGTCAGGGCCCTGAATTCACACTCAGAGCATCTGAGAAGCTCTGAGGCACATGTTAGGCCACTAAACTGCTCCATCCCCTGCCCCTCTCACCAGTGAGCAGCTCTTCATGGAGATGGCCGACCGGCTGGCACAGGACGGATGGCGGGACCTGGGCTACACATACCTTAACATCGATGACTGCTGGATTGGTGGACGCGATGCCAAAGGCTACCTGGTGCCTGATCCCAAGCGCTTCCCCAATGGCATTGCCTTCCTGGCTGACTATGTGAGCTCCGCCCTAGCCCTGCCCCTGGCCTGGGGGCCAGATCACTCTTTCCACCCTACCCTACTTAGGGCTCCATTTCCACAATCCCTGCTAGAGAACTCAGTCTGGTGGAGAAATATAAACAAACAGCTAGGTTTGGCTGGTGGTGAGTGAGAACCAGGAAGGGCATCTGATCCAGCCTGGGATTTCAGGAAGTTCTGTGGAAGAGGAGGTAATCCTTGAGGTGATACAGAGAGATGGCATTTAAGGCAGAGGGGATGGCAGAAGCAAAGGCCTAGAGGCAAGAAACAGCCCATGGGGGGTGTGTGTTGGAGGGAGGGGAAGGACCATAGTTGGCAGAGGCCAGCCAACAAGCACAGAGCCTTGCCTTTGGGCATCAGGGCACCGTTGAAGGTTTTAAAGGGGACTGGCCAGATGCACCTGTGAGGCTGCTCCCTGAGGGTTCTGCCTGAACCCCTGGCGTTCCTTGGCTCTCCCCACAGGCTCACTCCTTGGGCCTGCAGCTGGGCATCTATGAGGACATGGGCAACCTCACCTGCATGGGTTACCCAGGCACCACGCTAGACAAAGTGGTCCAGGACGCTCAAACCTTTGCTAAGTGGAAGGTAGACATGCTGAAGCTGGACGGCTGCTTCTCAACCCCGGAGGAACGGGCCAAAGGTGAGTCCCACAGCTGGCTGGGGGCCATCCGGTACATAGGAAGGGATGGCCATGGAAGGCCCACTGGTGCCCACTTGGCCAAGCTTATCTGTGTGTATGGCCCTTGGGAAGTAGTGCTTCCTAATTTCCCTCACAAGGGACTGGGTGATCTTGGCCCCAGGCTCCCAAAAGACGGGTTGGCACCATGCCCCACCTAGGAGGTGTTTGAGCCTCAGCTTCCTCACATTTGGTGGGAAAAGCTCTGGACTGAGGCCCCAGACTGCCTCCCGCATCTCCTTGGTCCTGAAACATGGGGGTTGTACTTCTCCAGGGTACCCCATGATGGCTGCGGCCCTGAACGGCACAGGTCGCCCCATCGCCTTCTCCTGCAGCTGGCCAGCCTACGAAGGGGGCCTTCCCCCCAAGGTAAGCCATTCTGTGCTCCCACCTGGCAGTGTTCCCCACGCCTGGCCTCTTCACCTCCAGTGCGGAGTCGGCGCTGCTCTCACCGCAGTTGCCCACTTGGCTGATTTGTAAGTCTAGAGAAAGGGACCTAAGTACCCCACGGGGGGCCTCAGCCAGCCTCAGGTCTCAGAGAAGCGGTGGCACTTGTTAAGTGGGCTGAAGGCATGGGAACCGTGTGTGATGTGCCAACCCATGGCAGCCATCAAGTGGTTGGAATCTGGGTTGTATTGAGTGGACTAGGAGATCCAGAAGGTTGGTGATGATAGGCAGGTGGGGCTGAGCTTCTGAAGAGCCTTGTGGGCACCTTAGCACCTAGGACACTAGAAAGGGCGAGCTCAGACTTGCAGACCCAGGGGAGAATGCTGGCAGAGGATGGGACTCGCAACTGCAAGAACACAGGGGGGATATGCAGCAGGGATGTTGTTGGTATACCAGCTTGGGTTGGTATCCTGGGTTTGGCCCCACCTGGCATAGGAGGGCAGGGTAGGCTTCTGGCACCAGCATGCATGGAGCAGAGGCCTGGGCAGCCCCAGAGCAGTTCCACTCTCTCCAAGGCCTTCCTTATCTTGAACCAGCTAGGGCCTGTTCTCTCCCGTTCCCCACCCTCTGTGTCTCCAGCTGAGCCTCCCCAGCCCCTGCATGGGCCTCCGGGCAGCAGGTTGTGATTCTGGTGCTGGACTCGGCCTCCTCTGACATCCAGGTAAACTACAGTCTGCTGGCAGACACCTGCAACCTCTGGCGCAACTATGATGACATCCAGGACTCTTGGAGCAGCATGCTCTCCATCCTGGACTGGTTTGTGGACCATCAGGACATACTGCAGCCAGTGGCAGGCCCTGGACACTGGAACGACCCAGACATGGTATGCCAACATGGAAGGGGATGTCCCATGGTCTACCCTCCATGATGGACCTGCTCCCCACTGCTCTGTGCCCTCTAACTGTTCACTTACTGCCAGGTTCTAGATCCATGTCTCTGAACTGTGTCCTTGAACCAGCTGCATTAGACTTGCCTTGGAGCTTATTTACAATTCTGTTCCCAGGGCCCTACCCCCACCATTTGGATCAGAATGCTGGGGCAGGGCCTGGGAACACCCATTGTTGACAATCTTTCCAGGCAATTCTGATGCTTGAAACGTGAACTTGGTCTGCAGTGACTCTTGTGTGAACCATTATTCCTCCGCAGGGTGAAAAATATGAATATTTCACACTTCCTTGCCATTCCCTCCCTAGCCTGTCCCAGCCCAGCCTGCCTTGACTCTTCTTTCAATGCCTGGTATACTGTTACGCTCCAGCAGAGCTTCCATAGGTAGAACCGGCCCCTCGTACACACCTCACTCATAGCCCTGGGGACTTAAGTATTTTTTCAATTTGTCTATAGTTTTATTGCTATCTCTTCATTTAGTCAAGCGTTTACTACCAGTGATGATTATAATAATAGAAATACTCAGCCAGATGGTGGGGCACCGGAGAAACAGAAGTTGACCTGCCTTAGAACTCTAGCTCCTGCTCTGCCATGTACCTTGGGAAAGTGACTTAATTTTTTTTCTGTGCCTCAGTTTTATCAAGGAAAATGAGAAAAATAATAATGGCTACCTTATACAGGGTGGTTTTGAGCATGAAATGGATGACCCTTTCAAATGCTTGGCACAGCTTGGCACATATACCATGCTTACTTAAATTGGTATCACTAAACAGGTAACAATCTTGTGAGCAATAATCATTTCTGTCCTGTCTGGATCAGTTGCCCTGGGTCCGGACTCCCTGTCGGTCCAGTCAGCTGTGGTCAGGGCAGGTGGGTGGTTACCAGCAGAAGCAGACACTCTTATCTGGCTCTGGTTCTGGCTCCCTACCATTGCCTCCCTGGGGGAGTTTCTTGACTTACATGTTTCATTTTGTTGCCTTTGGCAACAGGATCACATTGGATCATCTGGGCAACCTGTGACACGAACAGCTCCCCCAGTTTTTGGCGAATAAACAGCTGAGGCTCAGATGGAAAGTGACTCCACTCATCCCGAGGCCACGCTGCTGGGGAATGGTGTTTGCCGAACCCAGCTCCCGCATGTGGCCATCCTTCCCATCTCCGTCTTCCCTTGCCTCAGCTACAAGCTTAGGGTGGCTCCCTGAGACCTCCTCCCTAAGGAGGGAAGGGCTGACTGATCCTCTCCTCTGCCCTTAGCTGCTCATTGGGAACTTCGGCCTCAGCTTCGAGCAAGCCCGGGCGCAGATGGCCCTGTGGACTGTGCTGGCAGCCCCCCTCTTCATGTCCACAGACCTGCGCACCATCTCTGCCCAGAACATGGACATTCTGCAGAATCCACTCATGATCAAAATCAATCAGGATCCCTTAGGCATCCAGGGACGCAGGATTCTCAAGGTACTGGGGTGTGGGGGGAAGGAAAAGGAGGCTGAGGGACTAGGCTCCCTTGAAATCAAGGCTACATTCAGCTGAAGACTCTACTGGGTACTACTCCAACTCACCCCACTTGCCCTGGTGAGAGCAGGGCCAGAGCAGGACAGCTCATGGGAGATGGGGAAGAGAGGCATCACCACACCAGTTCACAGGGAACAGTGAGCCTCTCAGTTTGGAAGGGTGAGATGTCTGGCAGAGAACTGTGCTGTCCCGTAGAAAATGGGGACTTCCCTGTAGCGTTTGGAAGTTGTTTGAGCCAAGGAATATGAATATTACTCATACCAGCATCTACTATTTACTGATCACCTACTGGGTGCTGGGCATTCTAGATATATTTTCTCAGAAGGTAGATACTCTTTCCCTGTCTTACAAATGAGGAGACCGAGACTTGAAGAGTCTAAGTAACTTTAGCTCAAGACCCCACCATTGGTAAATGGCACAATAGTACTCAATTCCAAGAGTGTCACTCCAAAGTTTGTGCTCTTTACACAGATCCTTTCACCTCCAGTAAAAAAGAAACCTATACACCTATTGCATGCACCTGTAGAAGTGGTGAGGCCCAGAGAGGTAACTAATGCCTGCCTGGCCAGGGACCTTTGGTTCATTCTCCTGGCTGCTCAGGGCAGAGTCCATCAGGCCCACTAGCCAATGCCGTCCACTCCAGTGCAGCAGCTGTCCCTGTCTGTCCCCCATGATCATACTAGGAGCTCCCTGAGACAGGATCTCATGCAGCATTGTCTCTGTGTTCTGACATGGGGCCTGGCATAGAGTAAGTGTTGGGGAATGTCTGCTGAGTCAGGGAAAGAAGGAAAGCAGAATAAGAGAAGTTGGGGTGCTAGAGGGCTGTGGTATCCTCCCCAGGTTTTTGCATGACAAAACTGTGGGTGAGGGTTGAGGGCCAGGAAGGAGACTTGAGGGTCAACCTGAGCAGGGACCCCAGCCAGTAGCCTCTTCTGTGTGCAGAGCAAATCCTTCATTGAAGTGTTCCTGCGGCCCCTGGCCAGCAATGCCTATGCCTTAGTCTTCTTCAGCCGCAGGACGGATATGCCTTATCGCTTCCACTCCTCCCTTGCCCAGCTCAACTTCAGCAGCTCCATTTTGTATGAGGTGAGTGCTCTGCAGATTGACAGTGCCTTTTATTTCCTTGGGAGGGCATTGCTGGGGGTGGTCCTCACTCGCACATGGCCTTCCCTAAGCCATGGGCCTTGGGTTCTGTGGCTGGTGCCCATGGGGCAGCTGCAGGCACTGAGGGCCAGGGCTGGTGCTGTCCTCTGCACCGGTATCTTCCAACTGCACCACCAGAACTCCTGTGTATAAATGAGTCCCATTACCCACTGAGGCCGTGCTCCTCCCCTCATTAGTCAGCCCTTGCTGGCACGTTCCTCGGGTTCTCTGTGGGCTAGGGCTGCCACCACTGCCTGTGTTTGGACATCTGTCGGTGTGCCAGTGAAGAAGTAATGGGAGACCCAGGGTTCCCACTTCTACAGTGCACACTGGAGGCCTAGCACAGACAGGCCAAAGTCGAGGCTTCTGCATCCTCTGAGGGGTCTCTGCACGGCCGTTCTTATTGTGACATTGGTTATGTCCCTCCCCGCTGCAGGCCCAGGATGTCTACACCGGTAGTATCATCAGTGGCCTCCAGGCTGAGACCAGCTTCACAGTGATCATCAATCCTTCAGGGGTGGTGATGTGGTACCTGTATCCTGTTAGGAAGCTGAGGGTACCCCAGCTATGAGGAGCTGAGACACATGACAGGCTGCAGCAGCACCACTGAACCCAGACCGTGGAGCCTTGGCTTGCTGAGGGCCAATAGGCGGGGTTCTCTGCTATCCAGGCCTGCTCGGTGAGCAACTCCATCAGACCCAAAGTGTAATCTCAGGGCCAGGTTTCACGTGCTGCCCAAGTGTGAACCCTCCTGGAAACATCTTGGGCACTTTCCCGTGGCCTTCCTGGCCTCTTACCTCATCTGCACAGCACCACAGATGTTGCTGAACAACTTGGCCAGCCTCCTGAGTCCCCATAGGCAGGGGCACTGGTACCCATCAGGACTCTAGCCTCTGACCTTTTATTGACTCTGAAATCAAGATTTGGAATTTTTCTTATAATTAGGAGTGGAGATTTGACCTCTTGTCAGGAACTTCCATGAATCATGTGGTTGGCTTTTCTGCCTGGAGGAAGCCTTGCAGGCTGACACTGCAAGGGAGTGACCTTGGCCCCCTAGGGTCACCAATAAAGCTGTTCTTTAGTCACATATGTATAACGTGGACCTGGGACTATGGGCACCTTCAGTTGGGGACTCTGGCAGTACATAGGGTGCTGGTTTTAAATCTTGCCTCATGTGAAAGATGTGTGGCATCTTCTGGCCTCTCATTTTCCAAAGTGACCTGCAGATTATACGTCAGTCCAGACTTGCCTCTTACCAGGGAGCCATCCCTGCTCTGTCCAATACAATGGCGGTGGTGGTGACAACACAGTGAGGCAGAGTAGCAGTGGTCCCAGGCCCTCTTTGTCTTGCGCATCCCTTCCCCACCCCGTTCAGACATTCCAGGCTCTGCTGGCCAAGACCACCACTCTCACCTGCCCCTCAGCTGCACGGACAAGGCCCTGATCTGCTAAGGAACTTTGCATTGTTGCCTTAGACACCTTTCAGCTCATCCCGCCTCTTCTGACAGGGCTTCATTCAGCAGTTCTCAGGCTGGGTGCCAGTGAGTGAGGTTCTGCTCTGCCTTTCTCCCGCAGGGTCCCTGCAGCTTGTCCTCTCCCCTAGTTTTCTCCCCCCTAACCTGGCTGCAGTGTTAGATCCTATGTGTCTTAGAAAAGTCTAGGATCTCTATGTGTCTTAGAACATATTTCCTGTTCCTCCTCCTAGAGAAAGGGTTTAAAGTAAAATAATAGCACATTCTTGACTGCTTTCCTTTGGTTCCTATTTCCTAAGCCCTCTTCCTTTAGCTGAGACAGGGCACCTGTCTTCCCTGATGTAAGTCAGCAAACTTGAAGATAGGTCCATTGGAATTAACCTATCTGAAGAATAGAAAGAAGGAGGAAGAAAAATGCTCAGAAGCTCAGAGGCTCGCGGGATACCATGCAACATACCAACATACATATAAAGAAAGGGCAGAAAGAATATTTGAAAAGATAATGGCTCAATTCTTCCCATATTTGGTGACAAATATTAATCTACACATCCAAGAAGCTCAATGAGCTCCTGGTAGGATAAGTTCAATGAGATCCATATCTAGATACATCATATTCAAACTCTCAGAAAACAAAGGGAGAATTTTTTAAAGCAGCAAGACAAAAGTGACTCATCACACATCACATACAAGAGAAAATACTTTTGAGATCAATGAAAATGAATACACAACATACCAAAATTACTAAAATACACCACTCTAAAACCTAGGAGTGAAAGTAGTGATCAGAGGGAAATATGGAAGTTGCCTATATTAAAAAGAATGTAAAGACAACTCACACAATGGCAGAAAATTTCTGCAATTCGTATTTCTGATAAAGGAATTCTATTTAAAATATATAAAAAGCTCTTAAAACTCAATAATACAAAGAAATAGCTCAACTAAAAATGGGCAAGCAGCCCTGATCAGTGTAACTCAGCCTCCTCCCACAAAGTGAAAGTCGCCAGTTTGACTCCCAGTCAGGGCACATGCCTGTGTTGTGGGCTCTTTTCTCCAGAGCCTTGCAGAAAGCAAGGGTGCTTGCAGAAAGCAACCAATTGATGTTTCTCACCCTCTCTCCCTCCCTTCCTCTTTCTCTAAAATAAATGAATAAGTAAATAAAATCTTCAAAAGAACTTTAAAAAATGGGCAAAGTATCTGAATAGGCATTTTTCCAAGGAAGATAGGTAAATGGCCAATGCTCAACATCACTAACCATTAGAGAAATGCAAATAAAACAATGAGATACCACTTCACAACCAGAAGGGTGCCTAGAATAAAAATGTAATAAGTGTTCGCAAGGATGTGGATTGGAATCCCCATACCTGCGGGTAGGAATATAAAACTGGTACAGCAGATTGGAAGATGGTCTAGCATTTAATTCCTCAAATAATTAAATATAGGGTTATCATAAGACACAGAAATTCCATGTCTAGGTGTATACCCAAAAGAAATGAAAACATATGTCCACACAAAACCTTGTAAACAAGTATTTCTAGCACCACTATTTACAAGAGCCAAAAGGTAGAAATAATACAAATGTCCTCCACCAATTGATGAATGGATAAACAAAATATGGTTACCAATACAATGGAATATTATTCAGCCACAAAATGGAGTAAAATACTGACATGCTACATGGATGAATTTTGAAAACATCATGCTAAGGGAAAGAAGCCAGTCACAAAGACCACACATCATGATTCCATTCATATAAAAGTCCAGGATAGGAAAATCTATACAGAGACAGATAGTGTTTGCTTAGGACTGGGTGGGGAAGATGGGGGTATAGGTAATGGCAGCTAAAAGGTACAAGCTTGCTTTCTGAGGTGATGAAAATGTCCCTAAATTGACTGGAATGATGGCTGCACATATCTGTGAATATATTAAAAATCATTGAATTGTATACATTAAAATGGGTGGACTATGTGATATGTGAATTATATAGCAATAAAGCTGTTTAAAAAAAGCAAATAAACCTCACACCTACTCCCATTCCAGCATTATTCACAATAGCTAAGATATGTGAGCAACCCAAAAGTCCACTGATAGATGAGTGGATAAAGAAAATTAGGTATATTCATACAATAGAACACTAGCTTTAAAAACGAAGTGTGGTCACATGCTACAACATGGATGAATCTTGAGAATATTATGCTAAGTAAGAAGCCAGTCACACAAAAAAACCCCAAATACTGTATGATTTCACTACATGAGGCACCTAAAGTAGTCAATTTCATAGAAACAGAAAGTAGAAAGTAGCATGGGGGTTACTAGGGGTGTGTGGGAGGGGGAAATGAGGGCTATTCAATGGGTATTGAGTTTTAGTCTTACAAAATAGTTTTAGAGATTCACTGCACTACAGTGAGTACAGGCATCTCCCAGTTTTCATAAGTTGGTGTTACTCCATTTTTATTTAAGACCTATATTAGTACAATACTGATTTTCACTAACCAAAAGAAATCCCCCAATTCGTCAATTACAGTTTAAGTTTTCTTACCCTCATACCCGCTATATCAACAGGTTTCTTTCCTGAGCTTTTGCTTTTGGTGAGTTGTGATTCTCTGTATCCCTCTGTCTCTCCAATGTTGTGGACAGCAGTCTGCCCTTTAATTTCCAATGGATCTAAGAAGAGTAATTGATTTTCAATTTACTCAACTTCTTTCTTATAAAGATGGGAGTGTTGACTTCCAACCCCTTTACACAGCAGCACAGAAAACCTTAATCTCTTTAGGAACCAATCTGTGAAGGGAGCTGGAAGATCTGCAGGCAAGGAATATTTGCACAAGGGGACAAGTTTCCTAACTAAGGCTGGATCACATGTTCAGACCAAAGTCCTTCCTGGTGGAGGCATCAAAACAATGCAGACGTCGCCTTCTCCAGGAAGCCGACAAGTCCTCCTTAAGCAGTCAGAACCCCTCCCCTAAGCCCTGGGCAGACCTCTATCATTGCACTTCTGTCAGAAACTAGGAGTGTCTCACTCTCTTGTTGGTCATCAGGTAAAAGCCAGAGGCATAATGCCAGAATTGGGTCCAAGGGAAAAGCCTAAGCTTGGGCATAAATATTTCCAAAATAGTTCCCAAAATGAAGTATTCCAAGGTCCAAACAAGGGTTGAGGACCAGGAAAAGTAAGACTATCAGAGCAAGCCAAGAGGAGGGGGGGCCAGACAACTTCCCCAGAAGAACCACACAGAGGGTGAAGTACCTACCTGTTCTTATCTTATATTTTGGGGGTGGGTGGGATCCAGGACAGGGTGGACACTTGCAAAATGTAATGAAATCATTTATCAGTGAAGCAACCTGTGTACTGCTTGACAGGATTCCTTGGAACACGGGGTTGCCACAGAGCAGCCTCAGTAAGTACTTGACCTGACCTGATCCTTAGGAAGCCCAGAGCACAATGTCGGGTAGCACAACAAACAAGTGGTCGGCTCACATGCTCTGATTTATTCGGGCCCTCCTCTTCATGGGAACAGGCTCCCCCAACTTGGGCAAGTGTGCTCCATCAAGGGGCACTTCAGCACAAGACTTCAGCACGGAGAGGTTCCATCTCTCTCGGAATCAGATAATTAATAGTTGAAGCAGGGCAAGTGCAGAGCCCAGTCAGGAAGCTAAGAACCTTGCGCATCCAAGCTGCCCTACTGGACAATCCCAAGGGACCAGCGCCAGGCCATGCATATCATAGATGCCATCAGACACTGAAAGACCAAGGCCACAGCAGAGGTGTGCAACAGCAAGCAGACTTTAATCGAGGGTGTAAAACCAGGGTGGCCCCAGCCTCTTTGGATACTGTAATTTCTTTTGTTCTCCGGATGTAGGGAGGAAGGAGGGCTGTTCTCTAATGAGGGCCCAGAAATCAGTCTCCATCCCCAAGCTGTTTTATGCAGACTGGTTCAGACCTTCCTCACTGATTGTCTTGAAATATTTTCAAGTTCTTCCTTCCATGAGAACAGGAGTCTTCTCATAGTCATCTGTGTTTTAAGGCACTGGGTGTCAGGGAAAGCACCTTGGAATCAAGCTGCCTTTATACTAGCTGCTCCCTCTGCCTGGGGCACTCTCCCAGTCTGCGCGCCTAGCTCCCTCGCCTCCTTCATCCTTCAAATAGTCACTCAAATATTACCTTCTCCACAAGGCACTACTGCAAACTTCTCTCTCTGCCACATGCTCCTAATCTCCTTTACTTTGTTCTATATTTTTTGTAGCTTTTATCTCTCTTTGCTTATTCTGAAGTTTGAATATGATATGCCTAGTTATATCATATAACATAATGTATATTGCCTGCATCTTAGTATTACTAGAATGTAAACTCTGTAAGAACAGGAATTTTTGTTTGTTTTTGTCACTGATCTCCCAAGCCCACAGAAATAGCACATAAAAGGCACTCAATAAATAAGTGCGTGAATGAAAAGGAAAACCTCTATTCAGATCCTGCCCTGTCATTTACTAGCCAGCTAGTTCGCCTTAGGCACTTTGCTTCCCTCCCAGCCCATTTCTTCATCTATCAGATTGGGGGCCAAGCACCCTCCTTGCTAAATTTTTCATGTAAAGTGCCCAGCAGGGTGCTCATCACAAACAAATAGTTAATAAATAGGCCAGCCACTTCACATAATTACTGCCCCTCTCAAGGTCTTCACCCTCCATCCATTATAAGCACCCTTTACTCAGGAGGGTCACTAGGCAATTAACACAGTGGAGGCTTCAGGTCTGGGGCTGTGATGAGGGGATGAGGCCATAAGGCTGTGAAAAACTTAAAGACCTCAGGACTCTCTTTCCTGTGCCAGCTGAGCTGGCTCAAGAACAGCTGGTCTCAGGCTCCTAGCAACCCCCACACTTCAATTACATAGCAGCAGAAGACCTGGAACCAATCTTCTGATCTCATGGGGAATCCGAGCCCTCCTTTGACCTACTATGCCACCTCTGACACCATCGATTTTCAAGGCCCTCTGACCACGAGGGATCAAGCCGGCAGTAGGAAAAGGGTCTCAGCACTCACCAGAACCCCACAGGTGTGTGGAGAGGATCAGGCCACTATGTGCACAGGATACTCCTCCTACTGTTTGGCTCCTATGCGATAAAAAGAAAATAACTAGGGAGCAGGTTCATCAGTCAGAGAGAGTTTAGGGCCCCAGGCTCTGGGACCAGCCTGGGTTCAAGTCCTGCCTCCACTCAATAGTTGCAAATTTGTTGGTTTCCAAAGGTCTCCAAGCTTCAGTATGCTTAGCTGTAAAGTAAAGCTATTCACAGTGCCCACTTCACTGGATGAAGTGAGGGGTTGAGTGAGATGTTTATGAAATGCCTTAGCACACTGCCTAGCACCCAACTACAGTGTTGATCATTTGCTCACTCAAAGGCCTTCACACACCAGATGAGTGCTATGGGGCCACCTTGCCAGAGGTGGCTTTGGCCAGTATGAACCCTATGAACCATGGCTGTGAGGTAGGAAGAGGTGAGATATAACTATGCCTTCACAAGTGCTCAACTCAACCAGCCAGAGAAGCAACAGCTTTCCCTAAAACCTGAAATTTTAATTTCTAATCCTAACAGACTGCCAAACAAAACTAAATCTGCAAATTCTAGTCTTCAGCTGGTAGCAAGAACTCGGGGTGGGGGCGTGTGTGTGTGTGTGTGTGTGTGTGTGTGTGTGTGTGTGACATATGTATATAATAAATAAGAATCGTAATTTATTTGTCTTCATTCACTTGACACCTGTTTACTAGACACCACCATGTCCCTTACCTTCTGCTAGGCCCTGCAGTGGGACACAGCCTCAGCTGTCAAGGAGCTCACAGGTTATGGTCGAAATGAGCATGCAAACAATCCCAACAGGATTGGCAAAGTATTTTGCCAGAAACATGCTGAGGGTGCAATACAAGCTTAGCAGAAGGGCAATTACCCTAGAAGGGGAGCTTAGAACAGGTTTCTCAGAGGAACTTCCGAGCTGTTCTGAAGGATGGAGTTGAATGCAGTGGGGAGGAAGGCAGAGCCCATACTGTGCTGTGTCTGCGTGCAGTTCTGCTTGGCCGAGTCCCACAGCGGGAGAGGTCGCTGGAGGGGCCCAGTTGGGCAGGGCCTTGAATACTAGGGTGCATAATGTGACCCACGAATGTGTGAAAACCGGGAGTTTGGACTTTATCCTGAAGGCTGTGAGGAACCTCTTTATAAGCAAGGCAAAGCCTAGCATGCTATTAGTTTAGATTTAAAATTATTCATTCCTCAAGACAGAAACATATAGTACGCATGTGCTTAATAGTGAAAAAAACTAAGTCTCCTTCTCCATCCTTTTCCCAAGCCACACAGTTCCCCAACCCAGAGGCAACCCTGTTACCACTTGATTACTTCATTATGCATTCTAGTATGGTGGAATCTGAGAATTTATATATTAAAATACTTAAAATTTTACTACGAACTACTTTTCTATTTTTTCTTCTTTATATCACATTTATAGTATTATATTGATTTTGGTTGAAATGGTGTGGAATCACATGCAATTGCCTGCAAATTTCATTCCAATGAAGTATAACTCATAACAAAATATGAGTTATAAAAGGGGGCATTCAGTCAGACGGGATTGAAAATTTCTGTAGTACATACTCCCTTAAACATGCTTTTTTCTCATTTAACAATAAGACTTAGAAGTTTTGCATAGGTGGCATGGATATACTATAGTTTATTTAAATATTTACTATTAATAAACCTATAGGTTATTTCTAATTCTGTGCTGTTAGAAACAATGAATGTAATGAAATCTTTGCACATACATCTTTATGCACACATGCAAGTACTTCTCAGGAATAGATACTGAGAAGCAAAACCACTAAATCAAGAACAGACACATTTTAACTTTTAGAAGGTACTGCTGAATTTCTTTCTAAAAATACATTCTAACTTAAACTCCCTCCAATGGTGTTTAACAAGAACCACTCCCACACATCCTTCCCAACCCTTGAGTTTTTCAGTTCTTTAAAAATACTTGTAAGTCTTTGGAAATAAAGTGTTTCTCATTTCAAGTTACACTTCCCTAACACTAGTTGAGTTGAACAAACATCTTTTCAAATGTTTCTTGGCCAGCTACTCTATTGCCTTAGTTAATAGGGAATTCATATCTTTTGTCCATTTTTCTTTTGGGTTGATTTGTAGGAGTTCATATATTTGTTTAATATTTTGTTGGAAATTACTTTCTCCAAGCCTGTTGCCTATCTTTTAACATACAGAATTTGTAAATTTCAATATAGTCAAATTTATGTTTCCCTTTATTGTTTTATTGGTTTTCATTGGTTTTGCTCTTCTTAAAGAAAGCTTTCCTATCTCTAGACATCATTTTCAATGGCTGCATAATATTTCACTGCATAAATATACCATAATTTATGAAATTCCCTCTCACTATAAGAAAGATAGGTTGTTACATCTTTTCATTAATATAAAGAATACTGTGAAAAATAACTAAGTGTTCAACTTGATATTTGTAACACATATCTTAGTGCCTATAGGACGGGGGAGGGGAGAAAGGCAGAAATCTTTTTCCACAGTCACATTCAAGGTATGCTTTTAAAAATATAGCCCAATGTCAACCATATTATTGGGGAATTAGCCCTACAAGTCTACTTCTTTTTTAGCCCATCTAATCAAGAGTTGACTCTGTTTCTAAAATATAGCCATGGAAGTAAAGCTTCACTTTCCCCCTAACATTGTCCTTTCAAAGGGTGGAGCAACTACTTGAGAAGGGCCTTTAAACACATACCTGAGTCGTCTTTCTTATCCTGACTTCAGTTTTAGGGTGCCACTTTGCTTGGTGAGTCTCCAGGCTTTACTTCACAGAAGGTGGTAAATGGGCCTGAGAAGATGAGGTGGAAGGAATAGAAGACTCATGTCCAGCAGGCTGGGCAGCCACAGATTTGTGGGACCCAGCTCTATTTCTAGTAGGTGGAAATTCATTTCTATCTGGTGGGGTTCCATATCCTGCAGGCGGGGTTCCATATCCTGCTGGTGGGGCTCCATATCTCACAGGCAGGGCTTCTGATCCTTCTGGTGGGCCTCCGTATCCGGCAGGTGGGCCTCCGTATCCTGCAGGTGGGCCTCCGTATCCGGCAGGTGGGCCTCCGTATCCTGCAGGTGGGCCTCCGTATCCGGCAGGTGGGCCTCCGTATCCTGCAGGTGGGCCTCCGTATCCTGCAGGTGGGCCTCCGTATCCGGCAGGTGGGGCTCCAGATGCCCCCAGTGGGGCTTCATATCTCACAGGTTGGGGCTCATAGACAACAACTCGGTATGCTGAGAAGAAAAGAAAAAAATCAGTAACTTATTTTTTAGCATGGACAAGGAATAAATGAGAAGGAGTAAAAAGATAAAAATTATGCTGAAGCAAACTAACACAGGAGGAGAATCAGGCTAAATAACAGTAAAGCCAGATCCTTCAGCTACCACTAGTTGAAGGCTTTATCATTTCCTGTTGTGGAGGGATTCAAATGAACATGATAACAACCCTACAGTTAAATCTCTGCCTTACTTGTAGTTGTGTACAGAGAGATATATGTTTTACTTAATAAAGTTTGTTTTGATTATGAAAAAAGTAATACATGCTTAATGAGGAATATGTATTTGGAAAATAGAGAAAAGATGAATTTTAAAAAGTCATCTATAGTGCAATTATCACATACAAAAAATATTTTAACGTATTTCTTTGTAGAATATCTTTAATACGTTCATGCAGTCATGATTATAACAACTGTACAATTTTTAAATTGGATTTTTTATTTGACATTATACAAAAATTATTTATATTATTGATGTATTTCATAAATTAAAAGCTGGACTATATTTCATTGTATGGATAGGTGCTAATAAGTTCCCCTGTTGTAGGAGAACATGTTACTTTCAAATTTCCAATTAATATTACAATAAACATGGGTTTATTTATTTCCTTGGCTACATTCTCAAAGTGCTTTAACTGGGTCAGGTAAATGGACAACTACCAAGTTATTTTGCTGTAATCCGTATTTATGTTTAAGCTAGCTAGAAAAAATTTTTAAAGAACTTTCTTAGAGATGCTCAAAGAACTAAAGGAAACTGTGGAGAAAGTCAAGAAAATGATGTGTGAACAAAATAGAAATATTGATAAAGACAGAAACCTAACAAGAAACCAAAAAGAAATTCTGGGGCTAAAAAGTAGAAAAACTGAAATGAAAAATTCACAAGAGAGGTTGAAATTTGGATTTGAAGAGGCAGAAGAAAGAATCAGGGAACGTAAGGACAGAATGGTAGAAATTGTTGAGACTGAAGAAGAGTAAGAAAATAGATTAAAGAAAAGTGAACAGAGCCTCAGGAACCAGTAGGACACCACCAAGCAGACCAACATACATACTCCAGGGAAGTCCAAGAAGAGAGAAAAGGGTTAGAAAGAATATTTGAAGAAATAATAGCTGAAACCTTCCCTAATTTGATGAAAGACATGAATATAAACATTTAAGAATCTCAACAAACTCCAGGAACTTACTTAAAGAGATCCATATCAAGACACATTATAATCAAACTTGCAAAAGCTGGAGACAAAGAGAGAATCTTGAATCAGCAAGAGTGATATGAATCATTACATGCAAGGGATCTTCAATAAGATAATCAGAAGATTTCTCATCAGAAATTTTGGAGGTCAGAAAAAAACCCCTGTCAAACAGCAATCATATCTGGCCAGGTTTCTTCAAGAGTGAGTGAAAAATTAAGACATTTCCAGATAAATAAAGGCTGAGGGTGTTCATTACCACTAGACTTTCCCTGCCAGAAATGCTTAAGGGAGTCTGGCAGGGTGAAGTGAAAGGACGTTAAACAGTAATTTGAAGCTATATGAAGAAATTAAGATCTTAATAAAGATAAATCATTGGGCAATTATAAAAGCCAACATCGTTGAGACAATAGTTTGTAATTCCATTTTTTTAAACATAATTTAAGAGACTAATGCCTTAAAAAGAATTACTAGATTATGTTTTGGGGCATACAATGTATAAAGATGTAATTTGGTGATATTAACTGAAATGTGTGAAGAAGGAACTGTAAAGGTGCAGAGTATTTATATGTTAAAGTTAAGCTGGTAAAAATTCAAATTAGCATTGCAACTTGAGGATGTTAAATGTAACCCCCATGGTAACCACAAAGAAAATAGCTATGAAATATAGACAAAAGGGAAGGAGAAAGGAATTTAAACTTTTTTCTATAAAAATATCAATTTAACCCAAAAGAAGACAATAATGCCAAGAAATGAGGGGCAGAAAAGCTATACAGTATATAGGAAATGACAGAAAGGCCTCTATTACCATAATTACTTTAAATGTAAATGGATTTAACTCTCCAATCTAAAGACAGAGATGTCTGCAACCTCCTCAGGAGCTTCCCAGTATAATCTCAATCTGGGTGCCCCTATATAGAGGGCAGGGAGAGAGCAAAGAAACAAGCAGACCACTCCACATTGGTAAGTGGCAGTTTTAAGGAATAAAGGAATTTATTTATGAGGTTGTCTTGGGTTGCTACAGGATGAGTAGATCTCTGCACCCACTTGCCAAATCTTAAAAGTTTTTATATAGAGGCCCTAACTGGATTCAGTCATATATACCATCCTGGTAGTCTCAATACCACATTTCTATGACAAGGCTTTATCCCAGGAGCTGCTTCTTGGAGCAGGAAAGGCAAGCAGAACAAAATTTAGGGGGGGGCTTTGAGAGAGGAGAAAAACAGATTGTATCTTTGTAAAAAAGACTTACGGTTTTTTAAAAATATTTTACTTATTTATTTTTAGAGAGAGGGGAAAGGAGGGAGAGAAACATTGATTGTTGCCACTACCAGCTCTCAATCCACTGAGCCACATCAGCCAGGGTGTACAAGAGACTTACTTTATATACATTGAATAGATTGAAAGCAAAAGAATGAAAAAAGACAACATAGAAAATCTTCCTAAAAAAAAAACCCCCTAAAAACCCTGGCTGGTGCGGCTCTGTTGGTTGGAGCATCGTCCTGTACACCGAAAGGCTGTGGGTTTGATTTCCATTCAGGGTACATACCTAGGTTGCTGGTTTGATCCCCTGTCAGGGTGCATATGGGAGGTGACCGATTGCTGTTTCTCTCTCACATTGATGTTTCTCTCTCTTTTTCTCTCCCCCCACCCCCAGCAATGAAAAAATGTCCTCAGGTGAGGATAAAAACATTTTTTTTAAAGAATGGAAAAGATATTACATGCAAATAGTAACCAAAAGAGAGCAAGGGCAGCTATACTATCAAGAAAAAATAGACTTTAAATTTTAGCAAATTACTAGAGACAAGAAGGAAATTACATAAGCCCTGATGGGGTAGCTCAGTTGGTTAGAGCATCATCCCAATATGCCAAGGTTGTACATTCCATCTCTGGTCAGGACGCACACAAAAATGAACCAATGAATGCATAAATCAGTGGAACAACAAATTGATCTCTTTCTCAAATCAATAAATTTTTAAAAACATTTAACATGTTTTTTTTAACATAATGAACTTTTGTTCATTAAAGAATATTATCAAGAATGTGAAAGACAACCTACCAAGTGGGGAAACAAATCACATATATGAGAAGGGATTCATATCCAGAATATATAAAGAACTCTTACAACTCAACAACAAAAATATAAATTATCCAAGTAAAAAATGAGCAAAGTACTTCAATGGATGTATCTCCAAAGAAAACATACAAATGGCCAACAAGCATAGGAAAAGATGTTCAATATCATTTGCCATTAAAGAAAAGCAAATTAAAACCACAGCCCTGGCCAAGTAGCTCGTTTGGTTGGAACATCATCCTGCTCATGGAAAGATTGCAGATTCCTTTCCTGGCTGGCATATACCTAGGTGGTGGGTTTAATCCCCTGTTGGGGCACATACAGGAGGCAGCCAGTAGATATTTCTCTCTCTCTATCTCTATCTCTTTCTCTCTCTTTCTCTCCCTCCTTCCCTCCTTCCTTCCCTCCCTCAAATCAATGCACATATCCTCAGGTTAGGATAAAAAAAATTAAAACACAATGAGATACCACCTCACACTCACTAGGATGGCTTTAATATTAAAAAAAAAACAAAAAGGAAAATAACAAATGTTGGCAAGGATATGGAGAAATAGGGACTTGTAAATTGCTGGTGGGAATATAAATTGGTGCAGGTGCTGTGGAAAACAGTTTGGTGGTTCCTCAAAAAGTTAAATACTGAATTTCGATGTGACCCAGTTATTCCAATCTTATGTAGATACTGAAGAGAAATGAAAACATATGTCCACACTGAAATCTATATACAAATGTTTATAGCAGCTTGTATTCATAATAGCCAAAAGATGGAAATAAGTGAAATGTCCATCAATGGATGAAGGGGTGAACAGATTGTGGTGTATACATAGAGTGAAATATTATTCATCCACAAAAAGAATGAAGTACTGATATATGCTACAACTTGGGTGAACCTCAGAAACATTATGCTAAGTGAGATAAGCCAAAAACAAAAGGTCACATGCTGTATGCTTACTTTTATGTATGATCTATTTGGAATAAGCAAATGCACAGAGACAAATAGCAGACTAGAGTGTAACAAAAGATGTTGGGAGAGGACGATGGGGAATCATATCTAAGTGGGGAATTATTACTTAGTGGGGCATTGTGGGGTGTTTTATGGGATGATAAAAATTTTGAAATTAGAGCTGATGAATTGTGAATATACTACATGCCACTGGATTATACATTTTTAAATAGTTGTTTTTATGGTATGTGAATTTCAACACTTTCAGACTTCTGAGTATTAGATTTCAATAACCCTTAAAAACTAATGTAGCTATTAAGGTTACAAATAAGTCTCCTTCAGTTGTATACTAAACTAAAAGCCAATGGATATGCACGTTGTGCTCCAAGGAGAATCCAGGAAATAGCCCACATTGGGGGGTCTGTTGACAGCCTAGTAGGAGGCCCTTTGTGGCTTACCAGTAGGCAGTCAACAGCATTTGAGAATCAATGACTTATCACATCCCAGGAATATAACTCAGCAGCTGTGGACAGGCACAACTGTTAAAGGACAGAGGGCATAAAACCCAGGGCTGGGGTTCTTAGTGAGGTTGAAGGGCATGTTGCAAGCTTGGTGGCTATGCTTGTGTGAAATGGGAAAGGAGAAGTAAAAAAGAGCATACATTTTCTGTTCAGGCTGTAAGCAGGAGGTAAAAGTTCCCACTAATGGGAGTTGCCCAAGTATGTTCCATGTTTGTATATTATAATTAAAAGTAAGCCTGAAACTTGCTGGCTTGCCATTGGGTTTCAGTCTAGAAATGAAGTCGTGGACTCAACCATTTTCCAACCCCCAAACCTTCAGTGATTCTCTGCAGCAGAGTCGGAGGCACGCTGGCAGTGAATAGATCTCTGAGCCCCTGGCATACTGTCCCACCTCCCAGGAAGAGCCTCCCCGCCACACCGTACCTGGACAAGGCAGCCGTTGGTTACACCTCAGACTCTCCTGCCCAGTAGTGATAAGCAGTCCTGAAGTGTCAAACCAGTAATTTATACTTCTAAGTGGAACTCCTTGGGCAGCTGAGAAGACAAATTTGGCAAAATAGGGACTCTTTAATTCTTTTAAAGGGCTTGGAAATCTCTAGTATATGATAAACATTCAATAAATGTTAGCTAGTATTATTAGGCCTAAAATTAAACTCATTTCCTCTCCAACTAAGACTTATATTCTTGACCATGGTTTATAGCATATGATCCAGTCGGTCCCCTAAGTTAGAAACGTCACTCCATCCTTCTGTGTGTCCCAGCACTTTGTCCATGTCTCTACTCCAGCACGTCCTATAAGATAGGACAACATGTTTGCATATGTCTGTCTCTACTAGACTGTGCTTGCCTTAACTAGACTGAAGTTGGAGGTGGAAGGCAAGGGACAAAGGGACAGGGCATTCCAGACAGAGCAAATATCATGAAGACTCAGAGATGAGAGAACAAGGCACAAAGAAATCCAGTTGGATTGAAGTACAAAAGGTAAGAGAGTGAAGAGCATGGAGTGAGGCTAGACTGAATAAAATATATCATAAAAATTATTTGTATTCAGCCCTGACTGGTGTGGCTCAATGGGTTGAGTGCCAGCCTGCAAACCAAAGGGTTGCCGGTTCAATTCCAAGTCAGGGCACAGGCCTGGGCTGCGGGCCTGGTCCCCCGGTGGCGGGGGGACGGGGTGGTGCGTGTGAGAGACAACCACACATTAATGTTTCTCTCCCTCTCTTTCTCCATCCCTTCCCCTCTCTCTAAAACCAAATAAATAAAATATTTTTAAAAATATTTGTATTCAAAGTTTGAAAGAGTTCTCTGGTACATCCATTAGAGCACAATGGCATCATAAAAGAAAACATGGGATCATCGACCAAATGTGAAGTCATGTTCTAAAGCTTGACAGTACCTCTTCCCTCTTTTCATTGAACATGGGGACTAAGACTAAGAGAAACAAAAGCAAAGCCAGAAATGACAAAATACATGTCAGAGAAGAGGAGCTCAGGCAACTGGGGCTCCCTGATGTGAAAAAGACTAGTCAATGATATCTGAGACCAGCACTTAGACGGGCAAAAGATTAGCAGGTAAAATTAGTCATCTGATTGTAAGCTCCTGCTAGATTGCAATTCCTTTCAGACAGGTAGGGACTTAATAATCTTTGTGTTCCCAGCACATAGCACTGTACTTGGCAGAGTAGGTAGGCTCAGGAAATGCCTGCTGAATACTTGTGCAACTACCAAGTGTCTAATCACAGAGACCAGAAAATCTTAACTGGGTAACAGTCCTGCCTCAATTCCAAAGCCTCAAAACCCCAAAGTGCTTAATAGCTTTATCGTTTTTGCTCACCAGCAGAGGCAGCTTTCATCAGCAACTGGGAAAACTGGATGGCACCTCCTCTTCTGAAAGATAACTTAAAAGTAGCCTGTCCTTCCCAGCCACCTGGGGAAGAAATGGCACACACTCACTAAGATGTAGGCTGGCACAGCTGGTAACTGAAGGACTACTGCAAACACTGAGAGAAAGACCCATTACCCAAACAAGCAGGGCAGCTTTCTTTTGTTCAAATTCCAACAAAAACCTTCTGGAAGATTTTGAGGAAAAAAATACACTTCTGAGTGTAAACACTTACCACCTGGGGCTGCCTGAATGGTTCCTTTAATGTAGTTGGCAGAAAAGATTGGTTGTTCAATGGTGCAGTTACTCATCAGATCAAATGGCATCATAAAAGAAAACATGGGATCATTGACCGAGTGTGAAGTCACAAAGATCACCTAAGAGAGGAAAGAAACCTTGGGAATGAAACACAAATTCCATTGGAAAAAATTCCATTTTATATGTCTGGGTTGAGACATATAAAAGCAATTCTAAGGTCAAGATTGTTTTGGCATCCTGGCCTAATTGAGAAGCATTACCCATTTTCTTCTATCATTCTTCAACACAGAAAATCTCAAAGTGCAAATGTTTTGAAACATTTTGAAACTCAATGATCAACCACTCTCCATTTTAAGGCAAACAAATGTAAAGTTAATTAGATAAAAGTAGAAGCAGAAGGAGAAATTACCCGGTATGAAGTGAGAAACAATGTTCCCCTCTTCGTACCACTAAAGAGATTAGATCCCTCTGGTTGCCGTGGGAAGGAGAGGTCCACATCACAAGAATGCATCAAGACACTGCAGAAAAGAAAAGGTAGACAGTATACAATTTAAAATTACATAAAGTGACAAACATAAATCTCTTAGCACAGCGCCCAGCCTAGAGCAAACACTCAATAAATGTTAGCTGCTGCTACTACTACTACCTTTATTGACATAAAAAGAATTTAAATGATTTTACTCTCTGACAATTCACAATTATTTTTCTCCCTCTTTATCTCTGGATTCATTGTATTATCAAAGCTACTTGTATTCTTACTGTTTATTCATTAATTCTTATACTTCTTATGCAGTAACTATCAATTACTATGCTAATGGCCCTGGCCAGGTAGCTGAGTTGGTTAGAGCGTGGTCCTGATACACCACAGTTGCTGGTTCAGTCTCCAGTCAGGACACATACAAGAAGCAACCAATGAATGTATAAATTAGTGGAAGAACAAATCAATGTTTCTCTCTTGTTTTCTCTCTCAAATCAATTTTTTAAAAAGCACCGTGCTGATGTAAATGTTAAAGAAGGTAAAGTATGCAGAATGCTCCAGAATCCTCTGACATGTTGTTCCTTCAGCCTTCCATGTTCTCCCCTCACTCTTAACCTGAAAAACCTGGATTCATCCTACTCTCATTCATAGTATCCTATTGTTTTTTTTTCTTTCTTAGTAACTATTATATGTGTTGATTTGTTCAATATCTTTCCTAAAGATTATTAAGGGCAATGTCTGCCTTCTTTGCCACTTTAGTCCTAGCAAACAGTGGGTGCTACTAGTATTTATTGAATGAACAAATTAAAACATGAATACAGGTAATAACACAAGCAACATATGACATACATCACATAAATGGCACAAAAAGGTCAAGGCAACTAAGTGAAAGGAGAGATTAGTCTGGGTTGAAGTAATTAGGAGAGACTTTATAGAAAGGTTGAAATATGAGCTGATTCTTAAGGGGTGAATGGTATTTCAGCAGGCAGAGGTGAAGGTAGGGGGCAATCACGATGGAAACCAAACAGTATTCATGGAGGTGTAGGCAGCGTTAGTAGAGGTACACCGTAGAAAGTAAACTACATTTGGGAGCAATGTGGACTCACTGAAACTGTGTGGAAGTAAGGTCGGGAGAAATAGTGACAAAAAGCTGGAAAGCCATGCTGAAACTAGAGCTTAAAGATATCATTTAATAGACAAGGAAGAAGTGTGAGCTGCAGCTGTTACAGCAGGATAGTCACATGATCAAGGGGGTGGTGGTATATACAGGGACCGGTTTAAGAGTTCCTAAAATAGAAGAGGGTGTGGAGGGGATAAATGGTGATGGGGGAAAAAAAGATTTCCTAAAATAATCCTGACACAAGATAATAAGAATTGAAACTAGAGTGGTAGTAAGTGGATAAAAAAAAGGATTTTTTAGGACTATGAAAAAACAGGATGTCAACAAAAAGAGGGGAATAAGGAACTCCAAAAGTCAGTCCAGAACCCTAGACTCTAATCAAAAGTGTACAACAACTGAGGAAATGTTTAATGAAGAAAAAAACTATAGATGAATATCCCTGAAAAAGCCTGATGCAAAAATCCTCAACAAAATACTAGTGAACTGAATATAACAGCACATTAGAAGGATGATATACCACAACCAAGTGGCATTTATTCCTGGAATGCAAGACTGGTTCAACATATGAAAATCAATCAATGTAATAGAAACAGAACTACAATATGATTCAGCAATCCCACTTCCTGGTATATATTCAAAGGAAATGAAAACAGGATATCAAAGTGATATCTGTATTCCTATGTTCATTGCCACATTACTCATAATAGTCAAGATATAGAAACAACTTAAGTGTCTGTCAATGAATGAATGAAGGAGTATATATACAGAAATAGATATATCATAAAATATTATTCAGTCACGAGAAAGAAGGAAATCCTGTCACATGTTAGCTACAACATGGATAAACCTGGAAAGAGAGATATATTGTATGATCTCACTTGTATGTGAAACTTAAAAAGAAAAAAGTTCGCCCTGGCTGATATGGCTCAGTGGGTTGATCACCGGCCTGCTAACCAAGGGGTCGCTGGTTCGATTCCCAGTCAGGGCACATGCCTAGCTTGTGGGCCAGGTCCCCGGTAGGGGACACATGAGAGGCAACCACACGTTGATGTTTCTCTCCTCTTCCCCCCTCTGTTCCTTTCTCTGTGAAAATAAATAAAATATTTTTTTAAGTTAAATGCTAGATGCAAAGAATAGAATAGTAATTACCAGGGGGTCTCAGGGGATGGGGGTAATGGGAAGGTGTTGGTCAAAGGTTCAAATTTGTAGTTATGTAGGATGAATAAATCTAGAGATTTAATATACAGTCATGATGACTATACTTAGTAAAACTGTATTGAACACTGAAAATATGCTAAGAGAATAGATTTCAGCTGTACTCATCACATAAAAATGGTAAGCATTGACTGTAGTAATCATTTCACTAAGTATATGTACATCAAATCATTATGCTGTACATCTTAAATATATGCAAGTTTTCTTTTTAATGGTAAAGCAGAGAAATTTTCTATTATGTTTTTTACTACATCAACAAATGAACTTAGTAAAAATGGAGAAAATTTATAAACCAAGAAATTTGCCAAAGACATATAAATAGCACATAACCATAGGGAAAAAAAGGTAAGTTCACTAGCAATAATTTTTTTTAAAGTTTCCATTATGCACATGTCAGACCAGCAGTGATATCGCAAATTAACACCAGGTGTTGGCGACAGTGTGGTGAAATGGTCACTCAGAGTACTGAGAGGAATGTGAATTGATATAATTCCACAGGGTGATTTTGCAAAAAAATATATATTTCTATATACTTCCATATGTTTAATATTTTTGACAAGAGTCTTTATATTATAAAAATATATTTTAAATCTTTTTGATTAAAGTCTATATCTTCTGATCCCACAATTCCACTTTTGGAATACATCCCAAAAAAACATTCAGACAATTGTGCAAAGATAAGTCTTCAAAAATGTTCATTGAAGCAATATTTATAGCAATGACAATTAAAACCAGAATATCCTAGATAGGGGCTTAAGCAAAGATTTATGCATACTAGAATATTGGCCATTGAAAATAATAATGTAGATTTAGATACTGGAATTCATTCTCAATATATTGATAAGTGAGAATGTGTATTTTTTCATAGGAGAAAGTGAAAAAGGATACATAACAAAATGTAAACAGCAGTAGATGTTGGAATCTAGGGTAATTTAAATTTTTTCTAATTTTTCTACAATAAATACACACAAAATTAACTGCACAAATTTTAGAATATGAGTTTTAAAAAAAAGAAAGAAAGAAACCTCAATGTCTTCCATTTTTACCAGTGTAGTCTATCCATTACATTTGTGAATCCTCAGCTGGGATGGGAAAAACATCTCCACAAAACACAGCCAAGCTGTGATGAAGTTCTCAAGTGCGCATTGTCAACAGGCAGAAGTCAAAATATAATCTATCTTCTCCCTCTCAAGATATTTCTTTAAAGTGGTTTCTATGCAGGAAGCCACAGCCCGGACAAGACCTTCTTTGATTAAGGAGAAAGCAGAGAAGCAGTCCTTTCCCTTTTTGAGGGACAGTGGGAGCAGAGGCCTTAACGTCCAGCACCTAAATTGAAACCCAAATCAAAGCTCTTGCACATGGCACTGGCCATGCAATGCGGGGCAAATCACTTTTCTTTGTTTCAGTTTCCCACCCGTGAAATGGGGCAAATACTACTGTTCCTCATTGTGAACAGAGCGGTTTTAAGTATAAAATTCTCACAACAGTGCTTGGCTATGATGACGTACTCAAGAGCATAGAATGGACCCCAAAAAAGATCATTCAAAGGGTCACAAAATTGATTATCTTTTCTTTTCTTTTTTTTTTTTTTTTAATGACTCGTTTTTTGCCTCCGAGACACAAGACAGTGAAGCAGGGAGACAAACCGGTAGGTAGCCCGAGTGAGAAGACACCGAGAGGTCAGATCAGAAGTGCTCCGTGGCACAGTCACGGGCACAGAGGACAAAGAGGTCTGGGCCAGTGCGGGCGAAGCCGCCGCGGTCAGAGCGCGAGCAGCCGTCCCCGACTATAAATATGAGGAAAGCAGCGGAGGTCCTTCGGGAGCAAGGGAGGACGCACAGCCTTGGCGACGCGAGAAAATATGTCAGGAAAATAGTCGGGGAAAGGAAGCATGCAAAAAAGATCTGGACATCAGCATTTGGAACTGTCTTAAAGGATCTTTCCGACACACGCACTCCAAGCGGCTTAGGTGCGCTCAGTCCCACTCGAGCGCAGCGTTGGCTTTCGGGGCGGCACTGGCTTTCCGGCGACCGCAAAAGAAACGAGGGCAAGCCGAGCGGAGAGGAACAATGATTAAAGGAGCTCGGCGGGGAGGCTGGCAGGACTCTGTGAGAAACTGGGGGCCGGGGAATTAAGGGGGGGAGTGGAGGCAGGAGGTGGGGAGGTGAAAACCTACTCCCTCCAGACAGCGTGATGGCGGCCCGGGGAGGGGCGGGCAGCGACGCCGCAGGCACCGCTCGAAGTGACAGGTGCAAACGCCCTGAGAGGCTGAGGGAACTCCATTCTTCCTAGGAGTCACATTTTTCGGTCCAGATCTTCATAAACGTCAGGCTTCTCCCTCGCTCGGGCCAAGAAGAAAGGGGGCTTCGGGAAGCTCGGAGGGCAAGGAGAGGCCCCCGATAGATTAGGATCTTTCTAGAATGATCCGCTCACATGCCTCTCTCAGCCTCCTTAAGTCCAGGACCTTGTTCCCTCGAGTGGAGGGAGTGGCGTGGCCACAGCTGTCACCCTACAAAGGTCGCGAGCCCATCCCCCAAACGGCAGCTGCACGCCACCCGCAGTGGCGGTGGGACTGCCCACCGCCGCCAGGGAGCTCTCGTCTTCTGAGGCAGCGCGCCCCTCACTCCCACGCGGTCCTGACACACCGGGAGGCGGCGCGCTCCTGCCAGCTTCTCACACACAGCAGGAGTGCTTCCGCCCTTCACCTGTGCAAAGCCACACGCTCCCGCTCGCGTCCCCTCCGCAACCCGGAGCTCCCGCGAGGCGGCGCACGCGCACTATCATCAGAGAGGGAGCTAAGTGCGAAGCCTTGGAAAAGGCGGGAAAGTCCCTGATTCGTTGAGAGTTCGCAAGACGCCACTATACCCAGCCTGTCTCCCCCCTCCTCCGACAGTACCCTGGGCTTCCCCTCAGGCACCTTTCGCCATCAGGGATGATGGCCCCTCGGCGGTTTTCGGTGTGGTTCTGGTTCACCGCCATCTTGCTCCGGGTCCCTCCTGCCGCCCCTTAGATGGGAAGGGGCGGGGCCTGCGCCAAGCCATGGGGCGGGGCTGTAAAGCAGAGGGAGGAGATTATGGCGCAAAGATAGGGGTGGGGCGAGGGAGCACAAGGGAGGAATGAGTGGGTAGGCAAGGCGGCTGGCCCCTGGGGCTACAGTGGTCAGAGGACCAGGCTGAGTCAGAGTTGAGACAGCACATGAAGGGAAGGGGGCGGGTCCAGGGAATTGATTCCGCCCGCAGGTGAGTGGCCTTTACGACCCCCACGTGCCCACTTGGCCACTGCATCATCAGCATGCAGTTGAACTGACCCTGTCAGGACTTAAAAGCAGTTAAGTTTCCTGAGTCTTCCCTGGCTCTGGTCAGGAAGCTCCGAACCTTTGGAGAAAGAATCTAGAATAATTCCATTCCCCTAAGGCGAAAACTTCCGTCCTCCAGAGAAAGCCTGGAATCAGAGCCGGTTTCTTATGAGGTTGTATACAGAACAGGGCGTGAGCTGGCCCACGAAATCGAAGGGGAGTCCGTGCTTGCTCCGAGGTGAGGAGAGCCTGTGTCATCCATCATACCTGTCCTGCCACCTCCAAAGGATGCCTGTGATTGCTTTGAAGACTAAAATGTTGTACATATTCTTATTTCCTTTAAACTTCACAAATAACACCAGAGGGTTTCATGGAAAAAGGGCATTAACATCTCCTAGATTAGCATATTTCATCAAATTTAAGATGCTGTCAGTTATAAGATGCACCATTTTTATATGGACCACTAAGAAAAAAAGTTGCCATGTAACCCAACATATCATCAGGTACAAGAATTCCTGATTTCCGAGATAGATAGATAGATAGATAGACAGATAGATAGACAGATAGATATAGATATATATTTAATATTTTATTTATTTTTTATTTTTAGAAAGAGGGTAAGGGAAGGAGAAAGAGAGGGAGAAAAACGTCAATGTGTGGTTGCCTCTTGAGCACCCCGCTACCTGGAACCTGGCCTGCAACCCAGGCATTTGCCCTGACTGGGAATCGAACTGGTGACCCTTTGGTTCACAGGTCTGCACTCAATCCACTGAGCCACACCAGCCAAGTCCTGAAGTATATTTTTTAAGTACAAGACAATTAGAACAAATGAAGTACAATAAGAATAGTGTGAAGCAGTGGAACGAGCATTGAGATCTAGTCTCCATCGTGCATTGGTACTTAAGTGTGCAACTTCAGGCAAGACGATTATGCTCTCTGAACATCAGTTTTCATATGTGTACGAAGGTATTGGACTAGAAGAACTCTTAGGTTTCTTCTAGTGATAACTTAAGTTCGAAAACTGCCCTGTCACTCAAATCTGCACACTTCTGTCCATCCAGATGTGTCGTTGCACTCTAGTACTGGCCCTCGTCATTTTACTTGAATGGCCCCAAGAGCCTCCCGACTTGGCTCCCTCCAGTCTTGACCGCTCACCATTCATCTATACCTTGCACTCACCCTACAGAATTGAAGCCCCCAACACAATTGCATGTATGGTCATCGCATTCAAATTTAGAGAAGTAATATACAGGTGAGAGTTGTGTTATTTGCTGGCAACAGAAAAGGGTATGAACCTCAAAGAGAGGCAGGATTGGTTTAAGTTCAAAAATGACAGGAACTAAGCTCGTGCTTTAAATTTCAATTCTTAATTCTTAAAGTACTCATTGTAAAGTAAGCAGGTCTCTAGGCAAGATAGGCTCACTCCTTTGATAGACTTGGGTTTTGTGCCTTCAGAAGAAACAAGGGGAAAAGCTAGAAAAATTAGTTGAATGAAAATAAACATTGTTTTCATTAAAGAAAACAGGCTTTGCAAAGCATAGCATCCCTCAAGGTCAAATGTAATAACTTCATCACTCATTTTGGATACAAAATCCCAGGGAGCAATGACTGCGATCCAACTTCATGTCAACTAAAGATGAGCTGACATCATAAAATGTTTTCTTATCTTTAACTTCTATGGCTGCTTCTTACTAAGATGGTCCCCGTCTAACCCTCCACACAAGGGTAGGATGATGTCGTGTCTATTTGGCCAAGGAGTGAGGAACACAAATAAGACACAGGCCAGGCAGTTATTGTTCAAACAGCAATGTTTAGTTGTACAACACATAAAGTCTAGCAACGTTTACACAAGTTTGAGTGTCATTGACTTGTTTTCAATTGGGAAATTAAACCATAATGTCACCGAAAGTTTGGCTGGGACTGGTAACATTTAAGAAATGGGTCGTTCTTGCATCCCCTAGGCTTGGGCCTCTTGCTCCATCAGGACTTGATTGTAGATAAATGGCCCACAAGTTACCCAGCCTTTGAGCAAATTGTGTCCAGGTAGAGATGGGAAGGGGTGGGCAGGGAGATTCTCTAAAGACACAGTGTGTGGGGCAGTGGCAGCCAACATTCACAAACACTCATGCATCTGATGAGGGCCTTGCCCTCCATTGGGTATTTTCCACTAGCCTATATGTGACCAACTATGGCCAGGCTAATTCATTACTCACATTAACAGGGTGGAGGTGGAAGGTAGGAATAGTCAGGGTGGGTGGGAAGAGATCCCTCTTATTGCTAAGTAGACAGATGGGTGCTTTTTTTCTTCCTAGAGTTCACATCTCATGGGGTTCTGGAGTTCTGTGCCTGTGTTTAGTTTAGCTTTTTTGTTTTGTTTTGGTTTTTGTTTTTTAAGATTGAGGATAAAGAAGTCAACTACAGAAATGTCTCTTCGGGAAAACCACTCTTCCTGAGAGGCTGCATTATGGGTGGGAAGCATGCGTGACCACACTCTGGGCCAGCCTGAAGTGGTGATCTTTAAAAAGGAGATCCTAGCCCTTGCGTCCCCACATCTGTAGTCACCCATCCTTATAAATAAGCTTTAAGCAATGAAGGAGACACCCTTGTCCCACATTGGGGCTCACATAGCTGATGTCAACGAATCTGACAAGCAGAAAAGTGGCTTTCTTGACCTTTTAAGAAAGCCAAAGGTAGCTCATGCAGATGGACAGGGAGCAATGCCATTTCCCTTGGAGATGGTTACAAGTAGCAGGTATGGGTTTGCAAGGGCAGAAGAAGCTCTTGACGAGTTCCTTCACCCTACAGATGGGCTGGGACCAGCTGACACAGACGATGGAGGAGGGCACTGCTGGCGAGAACTCCATTCCACTGGGAGGAGAGGAGTGTTTGGAAAAATGGAGAAGGCAGCTGTCCTAAAGCAGCTGGCCCCTCCCACCTGCTGAGGGCCAGGACGGGCTGTGGAGGTGGGCCCTTAAAAGGTCATGGCCCTGCAGCAGTAACAGCTGAGAGGAATGGAGGCAGAAGCAGCGCTTGAAATGGCCTTCATTCAGCAGTGGGGCAGGGGGTGGCTGGCACGGGTGGAAGGACAGAGCCCAGGAGGCCTTCTCCCTGCAGGGGGGTTGAGAACGGTTGAGGGTGTGGACACCAGACATATAAAACAGCTTCTCCAGGGAGGCTGAGATCATGATTTAGGGGCACCAAGCATCACTTTATTCAGCCTCTCCAACGCCCACCACCCCCACCCTAGATCTTCCCTGCTAGGCCCGGGGTCCCACATCTCCACACAGGACTGCTCGCTGTATAAGCCAGGGATCCCTCTTTTGCTGAAACATAGCAACCTCTGGGCTCTAACCCTACTGCTGTTCTATCCTGCCTGATGCCTACCCAGGAATAACTTTGTGGACCAGGGAGGATGTGGGTTGGATTGGTAAGAGCCTCCAGGAAAGATGGAGACCATAGGTTTTTGCATCATTGGTGATCTATCACCCACCTCTTTCACCTTGTACCCTGATTCTTGGTCTAAAGTCTTTGTGTTTTCCTAGCACCTGAGTGAAAAGGGACTATAAATGCTGCGATTTGCAGAGGACCTGTACAACACCTAGGGTTAGACCAGGACATGGAACAGGAGGTTGTATGAGGTCACTGTAAACTGTGTCCCTTGGTGTTTTCCCTTGCCTAAGGCTGTTGTTTCCCCAGCCCCAGTTTTATCCACCTCACTGACTAAAGGAGAAAGAGTAACTTGTTTGTAGAACAAATGGGATAAATATGTGTATTAATAAATATAGGGCTGGAGGGAAAGGCAAGAAAAGGCTAAAGGTACAACTGTGGGTATCGCTGGGAATGTCTACAGGTGTCAGGAGGGGGAACAGGAAAAGCAGTGGAGAAAGACAGACCAAAGTGCAATGAGCTTCAGCACAAAATGGAGAGAGAACAGAAGAAGAGGATACGGAGTCAAGTATATATGAGAAGAAGACAGCTACAGAGAAGCCAGCTTTTAGAAGGAAGAATCCCAGTGGAGAGAAAGGCAAACCACCAAGAAAGACAAATACTGTATATTATTCTTGCTACTTCTTTAGACTCAGTTTTTCTAGAACTTAATGCCTAAAATGGGTGTCTCACTTGACCAGCCTGTGCACTTTATTTAACTAGACACCGGGAAGCGCGTACTCGCCGCATCTCCTCCTCTGCCTGGGCTGCCCACAAGTTCAGGACCAGTCTCAGAGCTCGACTGCACATACGCTTTCCCCTTCCTCGCTACGGATCTGATTTCGCATCATCCTAGTTTGTACTGTCCTGCACTTTTAACTGCAATTTTATTTTAAGGTGGCCTCAAGTCATTTTCAGAAGCAGACTGGGCATAAATTCTAAATATAGAAATGGAGCTAAAGTGGATTAATCTACAAGGGAGTGGAAGAAGTGAGGGAGGGGCAGGATGAAGAAATGAAGGAAAGGGAGAAAGAGAGAGAAAGCGGGAGCAGACGTGAGTGTGACGTGTGGAAACAGCAGTCTGCAATGGGCAGTAGCTTCTGGACAGTGAATGCGACAGTGACCGAAGGGTGGAGCTCTCATCTCCATTTCTAGGCACTAATTCTTCCTGCAGGTGCCCAGCTCGGCCACTTCTCTGTTGTCCTTGACCTTCCTTTTCTCAGGAAGTCCTGGCCTTACCCCAGACCACCCCGGCTTCCAGGGAAGGTTTAGTCCGAACTCCGAGCCCCTCCCAGGCCTAGCTCTGCAGCTTGTCCTCGGAGAATCCCTGCAGTCCCGGTGTGTGGGCAGGTTCAGAGATAAGAAAGAGTTACCTGTGGCTCACCTGCACCCTCGTTTTTAAATGAAACCTCCCCAGACCTCTTGAGTGAGGCACACGGCTTTGTTCTGGGACACAAGGAAAGGAGACAGATAATGGACAGCCATGGAGAAACCAAACTTACAAGGGACTTCCCAGGGAGGGCAGTGAAAATACCTCACCCCTGAACACGCGCGCGCACGTGCGCACACGCACACAGGCACACACTCTCTCACACACACACACACAGGCACACACACATTCTCTCTCTCTCTCTCACACACACACACACACACACACACACACGCTATAGACAAGATGCTCCACAAATACCAGACAGGCCTGTGGGACAGAGTAGAGAGGAAGAAGGTGGTTGGCGGTGGTGTTTGGGATGTGTGGAGAAGTGGCTATGTGTGATGATACAGAGAAAGGGTCATCATGGGTTACTGTCGTGGCTTTCCTCTGTGTCCACGCTCACCGGAGGGAGGCCTCCGTTGTCATTGAGCCGCTTGGCCCTGTAGGTCTCATAGTGGATGTTGTGTGTCACTTCCTTGAGGTCCTGGAGGTGGGTCCTGAGGGACACAGGTGAAAAGAGAGAGGGATGTGATTAGAGTGGAAGGAGAAAGAGGTGACCCACATCCAAGGTTAACGCTTCCCTTCCACAGCCTGGGCCCAATGGGACCGATCCAGAGAGCCAATGCTACTTCTTCAGCCCCTTGTGCTTTGGAATGGGAGCTTGGTCTGGGGCAGAAAACCCATCAGAGAGACCTGGAGACTGAGGAAGTGGGTATGAGCAGATGGCCTCCTGACCCCAAATCATTAAACCTGCCATCTGAGGGCAGGGGTACAGCTTACCTGATGACAAAGTCTCGAAGGAGGGCAAACTCACAGTGGTTGAGGTTTTCCACTGTGAACAAAGCAAAACAAAACAGGTGGTCAGCTCACTAACGCAGCGACACCCCGCAGGTGCGCTTCTGCTCCAGTCACAACGGCATTTAAGGGGGGGCCACAGGGCAGTTACTGCACTGGGTTTTATTCATGGAAAAAACATCTATTAAGTGGCTACAATGGCACAACTCTGTTCTAGACTCCGTGGGATAAGAACTGAGAGGGTCTATTATATTCCCCATTTTATAGAAAAGGGAACAAATACACAGGGAGTCTAAGAAACTTGCCCAAAGCCTAAGACACAATTCCCATCCTTAAGGAGCTAACAATCAGACTGGAAGAGACTAACACAGAAAATAACAATCGAGCCATCTTAAAAAAGGTCAGGCACCACATGATAAATCTAATTCAACATAGATCGAATGCCCAGTACTGTGATACCTCAGTATTTGCCGTTAGCTTATGACAAGTGCCAAAACTGATGAGTATCAAACAAGCAATGAGGTATGAAGGATTTTCTCTTGCAGGGCAGCATCGTGACTCATACGAGTTCTAGCGAGTGTGATGAGGCCCAAGCAAGCGTGGAGTGCTGAAACATTTTTTTTCTTGTAAAAATGTGATGAGTACAGGGTTTGACGAGTTCTGAAGCTGACAAGTACTGAGGTATAACTGTATTTGCAAATCACTTGCCAAGGATTGTGGGAGTGGAAGAGGATTAAGACACAAACTCCATAGTCTGGCAATCTAATGGGTAAGACAGGCATTTTCATAAATAATTCCAACTCAAGGAAGGTGATGAAAAAATGCAATTAAAAGAATCCCAACAAAAAGTCATAGGAAAACTCTGGCTGGTGTGGCTCAGTGAATTGGGCCTGTGAACCAAAGGGTCACCGGTTCAATTCCTAGTCAGGGCACATGCCTGGGTTGTGAGCCACATCCCCAGTTAGGAACATGCAAGAGGCAACCAATTTACATATCTCTCACACATTTAGGTTTCCCTCCTTCTCTTTCTTCCTCCCTTCCCATCTCTGTAAAAATAAATAAAATCTTTTTTAAAAAGTCATAGGAAAATGGGATACAATAGGATGAACTTGGTTTTTACTTTAAGATATTCATTCATTCATTCATTCATTCATTTATTTTTAGAGAGAGGAAAGGAGGGAGTCACAGAGGGAAACATCAATGTGTGGTTGCCTCTCAAGCGCCCCCTACTGGGAGATCTGGCCCACAACCCAGGCCCATGTCCTGAATGGGAATTAAATTAGTGACCTTTTGGTTCGTAGGCCAGCACTCAATCCACTGAGCCACACCAGTCAGGGCTGAACTTGGTTTTGGAATAAAAAATATCCTAGCTTCACCACTAAGCCATGTGATTTGGGCAAGACATTTAACTGTCTGAGACTGAAGAGCCTCAGCAGCCGGTGCTCCCTGCAGAGGGTTATCACAGTGAATGAGATCACTGAAGCGATTCTTTCAAAACTTTCAGAATCATTATGACCCACTCAAGTTCACATCCATTCATAATAAAACAAAAACATCTGAACAGCCTTTCAGCAGTTTGTCAGATTGCAGCCCCTTTCATGTGAAAGCCTTCCTCTGGCATTTCTAGTCCTTATTCATCTCTCCACGTTCTGAAGACCTTTGACTTCTGAGTCGGTACCTCCCAGAGAGGAGCTAAATCAGTCTTTTATTGCTTCCTGCCTTGTGAGTCTCATTGCTCAATCACACTGTAAGCTCCTTACAGCAGGGTCTGCCTGGCACTCTTTTTAAATCTTACATCCTGGGACAGTGCCTTGACCTAGACATGTTTAATAAATAAGCATAATTAGCCAGAAGCCAGTTCCTCAGAAAGATGCATTGAATTACCTTCAATGATCCCCCAGGGAGTCTTTCGGCCGAGGACCCGCTTGCCGTTCACTTGGTACTCCTTGTCACTTCCCACCACAGCAAAGGGCATGCTCTCCTGCTGGCAGACCAGACACACGTGCACGTCATCCTCTCCCCCGGACTGCCAAGGGCAGGCGGGAATAGGGTCCTGGCCCCCGAACCTTGAACTGCTCATTTCTGAGGATCATTCAGTGGTCCCACTGACAGCAAGGGGAAAGCTCTTGGCTTCTCAAAAGAGCACTGGACTGGGGATCCCGAGTGCTGCATCCAGCCCTGGCTGCACCCCTGGCTCGCCGGTCAGCCTCAGTAAGGCAGCTTCCTGCACCAGGAGAACACTTCAGACTTTTCGTGGCGCTTTACACGTTTGGTTTGATGTGGAACAGCAGTGAGCTAGCAAAGATGGACCAACCTCTCTTAAGTGATACCCACCCAACTAACAGCCCAAGCAATGTATTTCACACTGTCTCCCGCGAAACCTGCGGGCAGAGGCCCACATCCGCCAACCTGACCGAGCCTGGAGGCCCCTTTCAGGTGTGAGAAGACCCCTCTGCCTGACCACGTGGCCTGTGTATTCCCCACGACCCAGCCGTTTGTTCCCAAATGCATTTGCCTGATGTTTGCTTGTTGTCATAGTTGGATAAATTAACTACTACATAAGCTGAGGACACACAAATATAGAGAACTGTTTCTCTGAAAATTAAATTGAATGTTTCAGAAAAACTTGACAAAGGTGAGTTGCTTTTGCATGAAGAGTGAACTTCATCTCAAAGAGGAGGCTTTGTCTGTGCATGAAAAGAATGTTTGATGAATGTGATATGTTTCATTTTAATGCAACAATTTAGTAAAATAATTATTTAAAAACATTGATGATTTGTATGCATCTTTTTTTAATGATCTCTTCAATTAACTGACTAACTCCCTGTCTCCGCTGCATCCTAGTAGATGACCCCCACTGGCCAGAGGAAACTTAGGACCAGAGCAAGTGGGTGATCTGTCCCAGGTCACAGGGGGTTAGTAGGAAAGCCCAGACTGGAGCTCAGGGTTCAGAGGTGGAATCCCAGGCTTGCAGAGCTTTAGGCCTGAGAAGGCTCTTAGGAACCACATAGGCCAATGGGTTCCATGAAGCTTAAGACTCCCAGGCGTGCCCCCAGGGCCCGCTGAGAAGGCAGGGCTCTGTGTCCATGTCACTTAGCCAAAGCTGCTCTGGTTTTACATTTTATATATCGGAGTTCTGTCTGACATTTCATTTCTTTAAAGGATTCTTCTAGGGAAAAGTGAAAATCTTATAAGCCACTCAACGACTCTGACCTCTGCATTTTATAGAGGGGGAAACCGAGGCAGAGCTCTGACTAGAGCGTATATACCTTGGACTCCCAGCCTAACTTTGTTCTAGCCTGCGCCCTTCCAACACCACACACCCTGGCTTGTGAGAGGAAGGAGAGGCACTCGCGTGGCCTGGGGAACGGGAGGCCGGCTGAGGGGCAGGGCTCAGAATCCTGGCCAGGGCCGCTAGTCCGCCTCCTCCCCCAGGTCGCTTCTGGTCTGGGTCGGGCAGGCGAGGGAGGGCGGGAGGGAGTATGGAAGGGGAGAAGCAGGTGGGAAGCCAGCAGCAGTATGCACCACACACCCCACAGGTACCAAGGCAGGGGCACCTGTGACGAGCAGAGCCCCAGGCACCCACCCGGATTTTGTCATTCTCTGTCTTGTCCTCCAAATCCTCATCAAATTCCTTCTGGGGGTAGAATTCGATGCCATTTACTTCAAGCTCCTTGCGAACCTAGAGGCAAGGAACAGAAGGCAGTCAAGTGTCAGGACAATGAGAATGTGCGTGTGTGTGCACGTGTGCGCGCCGGCAGGTGCGGTAAGGACAGAGGATTAAATGCAGCCTTGGGAATCCACAGACATCTCTGAATTGTGAGGCCCTGGGTTAAGTGCGAACCCCAACTGTACAATAACTAGAGCCCAGCCTGAGATGCAGACTCGTCTCGGGCTGCAGCTTGCTCATCTCGGAGTCTGTAAGGTTCAGATTTTGACAAGCAGCACCGCTGAGTACAGATTTCACATGGGCAGCGCTCATGCTGGTATGTGTCATATCCCTGTTTGCAGGGAAGAGGTGAGTCCGCCCACTCCAATCTTCTCTGTTTGTCCTCTTTCAAAGCTCAGCTTGAATCTCACCTCCTCCAGGAAGCTACCCAGGACCTCTTAAGCGGTCTCCTTGAAGGAAGCATAAGGTCCTTATGCTTCCCTTGCGTGCCGCCCATTCCCATCCCCGCCTGGATGCTTAGAGTACAGGAGTTTACAGAGGACACCAAAGAGGATTAGAGGGCCTTGATGAATCAGCCTAGTCCTTTAAGCCTCCTAGCGGTGAGGAGTGGTTTCTCATGTTCATGGAGATTTACGTACTCAGTGGTCCTTAGAGGTAAGTTTGGAGGGTGGAAGAATGCAGCCTGAGGAAGCACTAAGTTCTCTTCGCCAGTGGTCCCCAGGCGCTGCCAGCCCAGTCTCTTTAATGGCTCAGTGGGAGCTGGGCGGGAAGTGGGGAGGGGGAAGGTAATACTGGACCAGAGGAGGCACAGGCGGGATGGGGACCAGAGAAGGGGGAGGGGGCTTCTCACCCTTTGCTTGAATTCAGACTTCTCCTCTAGGGTCATGGTGTCAGCCTTAGCAATGACGGGGATGATGTTCACCACTTTGCTGAGGTGTTTCATGAACTCCAGGTCGAGAGGTCGCAAGCTGGAGCCCAGAGAAGGCGAAGTGTCAGAGCCACCGGGTCCACCCCCACTGAGCCATTGCCACCACTCCAGGGCCGCCGTTGGGGCAGGACTGGGCGGGGGACCTGGCTGAGGCCAGGAGGCTGCCCCATCTCCTGACACACGCCCACCGGCCCACCGGCTGCAGACAGGCCCCGGCTCTCCGCCCGCACACGGTCCTCCTCCTCCCTTCTCCTCAATCCTGCCCCTCTCTGAGCCCCACTCAGACCATTCCCTCAGGGCACCTTTACTGACGGGGGACAGCTATGGACTGTCACTCCACCCATATGTCCTTGTGTTATGGTTACTTGTGGGTGCCTTGTTCTGACGGGCCTCCTCCCAGCCCCCACTAGGTTCTGCAGGGGTCCAACTGGGGGTCTGCCCGTCTGCTGGCCGAGGGCCCAGCCCCACCCAGGCTCTGGGGCCCCCATTGGCTCCAGTTGGTAGTTGGGGGACATTGAGTCAGGCTGAGGGCCGCCTTGCAGACCTTGAGTCCAAGTTCTAGGGATCGATAAAGCTGACCATTTTATTGAGTTCCTGGGCCTCACCGCAGAACACCCGCGGAGTACCCAGTTCCTCCCAAATCTCGGGCCAGCCTTGCTTGTGCCAATCTCTCCAGAACTGAACTCTGGCCCGGCAGCTGGGCTTAATAATACGTTGTGAGGCCGCCCCCAACAGGAAGGTTCTCTGCTTGCCCACGTGCTCGCTCCGTGCTCTACCAGCGCACCCTTTCAGGCAGCCCCGCATGCTACGCACAGCCAGAGTCCCCAGCATGCCCTGCTTCCTGCCAACCTTCATTTCACCACACCCTGTGCTGGGCTGGCCACCCTCCAAACACCTACAGCTGGGTCCCACACCCTCCGCTAAACACCAGCCCCAATCCAGTAGCCCTGCCCCCACGATCTGACCCTTCTTGCTGCGCCCACCTCACCCTTGTGCAAAGCAGGTGCCCACTGAATAACTCAGAAGCCCTCTGTTCACATGTACCGCCTTCTCCCTACAGGCGCCACGGCACCATGGTGCCAGAGCACCAGCAGGCAGCTGGGGGCTGAGGCTGGCCCACTTCACTCTCCTGGCAAGGAAGCCAGGCTTTCTTGGGGAAGGCCTGGGGGCCACAGGGCCGTGACCACACTGGGGCCCATCCGGCCCTCCCCAGCTGAGGCCAGGTGCCGGTTATCGACTACAGAACAGGCACACATGCGGCAAACCAGAGCCAGGCCCCGCCTTGGGAGGGGCTGGTACATACGAGTGTCCCGTGGGGGAGATGAAGTAGAGGCAGCAGTGGACACGAGTGTCAGGGATGCGTTTCTTCCTGGCGATGTTCACCTCCTCCTTCAGGAACTTTTCGTATTGCTCATTGATGTACTTCTCAATGGGCTCCCAGCTGCGGGGCGGAGACGGGGAGATGGGGGAGAAAGCAGATGGATGTCCCAGGAGGACAGAACCTGGGAGCTCACCTTAGGCCTGGTCCCCTTACAGCGATCTCATTTCCTAATCCCCAGAGGGGTCAAGGGTACGCGCTGAGCATTCTCCCTCGGCCCCCCCGCGGCTGGCTTTCCTCATTAGCAAGGCTCGAACTCCTGCGGGCGGGCGCCTGGCCTTCTGACTGGGCCAAGGGGGGCTGCAGAGCCCCACTGCCCCCCAGAGAGCAACACACACCTTCCCTGGCTCCCTGCTTTTTAGCTGGGAGGCTCTGGAGAAGGCTCTGCCCCTTTCTGAGGCTCAGTGTTCTCATGAGTAAAACGGGGGTGACAGCAGGTGACGGCGGGGTGCAGGTAGGATCGGAAAGAACAGAAGTTCAGCACTGAACACAGCAACGGCACACGGAAGGTGCTCAGTCATGGCGACGGTTCACTATCATGACGACCGTCATTGTCATGATGGTCTTTTCTCTAGCAAGGAGCATGCGTATAACCACAGAAGAGGGCATCCAGTCACTTTTCTAAGGTTGTTCTAAGTTGTCTCGTTTGGTGGCTCCTTCTCTGGCAGACCCCAGCTCCCTCACAGAGGCACTGTGGTCTCCATCCCTATCTGAACGCAAACTTCTGCCTGGAACCTTCCATCTACATTCCGGGCAGCGTGTTCACCCCCTTCTCGGCTGCTCGCTGGCTGCAGCTTTGCTCTGCAGATTGGCAGAGGCGCTCGAGCCTCGTGGCAGCTCCCCTCCCTCCTGCTCCTCACTTGTCCTCTCTTTGTCCAGGTCGGCCAGGATTTGCACCCCAGGTCCCCTGGTTCTGTCTGCCCTGCCCTGCTGCCACCGCCAGGCAATCCCTCGGCCAAAGTCCCCTGTGCACTGTCTCCTCCGCCCCCACGCCCAGCCCCCACCTGGGCCTCTTCCCGCACCTCCCTACAAACTCCTCTCCCATCCTCAGGAAGACACTGAACTCTCAGCACGGTCGTGCAGGTGGTTCTCGACATGAATGAACCTGCCCCGCATCCAGTACCTTCCTTGCAGCTTTGGGGCAGAAATCGCATGGGCAGACACATACCAGTTTTCATTGTTGATCTGGTCTCCAAAGCCAGGGGTGTCAATGACCGTCAGCTTCATTTTGACACCACCTTCCTCGATCACTGGGGGGTGAACAGAAAAGGCACCAGGGAGGTGACTCTTCCAGCCGGATGCCAGGTACCCTTCTGCCTACCAGGCAGGGAGACCCAGGCTCCTTCCTTCTTCAGGGCCAATTACTGGCAAGTCGGGAAAGTCAGGTTCAGGGTCTTCCCCACCTCAGCACCTTTGTTCATGCTGCTCCCTGCACCGGGAAGGAACTCCCTACTTTCTGCCTGTCTAAATCCCTCCCAGGCTTTATCAGCCAGCTTAAACCCCATTTCCTTTTTTTCCTAACTGTTCTTCCTCCCCCTTTTGGACTTGCAATCTAAGGAGTTGGCTCCATAAAGTTCAGGGCTTAATTCTATTCTGTATTGCAGTTGCCTTTCATTTGCCTCATTCCCCAATAAGCCCCAATTCTCCCCCTTTCCGGCAGAGGCCCCTCTGACCGATGCCCACGGGGTCTCCCCTGGTCCTCACCGTGCCCAATAGCCTTGATCTCCACTGTCTTGGGGATCTTCTCCTCCCGGTTCCAGCTGGAGGCCTTGCGGCTCACTTGGGATTTGAAGAGCGTGTTGACCAGCGTTGACTTGCCCAGCCCACTCTGACCTGAGCAAGACAGGAGGATGAGAGGGCAGGGAGACCCTACGTCCACGTCCTGAACCCAAGATCTCTCAGGAGCTTACAGGATTCTCAGCTGGCCGCGCCCTTGTTTGACTGCTCACTGGGGAGGGGGGCGCTGAGCAGGAATCACCGGCAGGTGGGGGTGGTTTCCTGTGTGTGGGAGAGAATGTTCGATTCCACATTCTCTCCTTCCTGGAGCCCCGAGACTACCAGGAAAGGGGACAACCTCTGCATTTGTCTAGTGAGGCGTTTTTTTGTTGTTTTGTTCTTGCCTTAAGTCTTCAGTGACAATTACTTTGCATTCTGATAGGGCCTGTGTGTAACGTGCCTTCTATCGGCCCTGCGAATCCCACAGCAGAGCTAACTCTCATCCCCCTTGAGATGGTCCTGGAGAGATTAACCCCACCAAATGTAAAAGGTGGGCAAGACCAGGGCTTGAATCCAAGGCACACCAGGAACCCCTTGGCCCCATAGGCACTCTATCGCAGCGTAGCGGTCAGCATGTCGTGGAGGTCAACGGCTGAGAGGACCCTGTGAGAGGAGGCAGAGGATGAGCAGGCAGGGCCGGCCCCTCACCTGCGCTCCCTTCAGGATGGTGCCCTTTGGGGCGATTTGACAGGCACAGGTCTACAGACTTCATTCCAATGAGCACATGAAAAGGGGCTCTGCAGCTAAAAGGACTTGGAAACCACTGGACTGCACAGTGCTTCTCAAACTTTAATGTGCACAAGAGTCACAGCAAGCCTTGCGGAGTAGCATCAGCGCCCCCGGGACTCTGGTAGGAAACACAGGATCCCAGCTCCCTCCCTCAACCCTAGCATCCAGAATCTGCAGTTTTAACAGGACTTCCAGATGAATCATACGGACAGTAAAGTCCGAAGTGCTGGTCTGCAGTGTTCCTGTGGTGGATCAGGAAAATGTATGGCAGCAAGAGCCTGCGGTCTTAGACCCAGCTGTGCTGTTTCCCTGAACACCCGGGAATAACCACGTTTGCCCCTGTAGTTTCTTTCCTGATGACGTGGTGGGAGGGAAGGGACTGAAGGAGACCAGGGACAGTAAATAAGGTGCATTTCTCATCCCATCTGATCAGTTGTCGGTAGCCACCTAGACCAATATGTTAAAGAGGCCACATCTGCGCTCAGGCTGCCTCGGTGCTGCTGGGGAGGGAGGTGGCCCACGTGCCCTGAACTCGCCATTCTCTAAAGTCATCTGCTCATTAAGTATTCTTGAGTGCCAAGAGCTGTGCTACAACTGGAGGTAGAGTGATAGGCGGCACCATCCTTACCCTCAAGAGAGACTAAAACATAAACAATACATTGTCATGAGGAAACACCAGCGGGTGTTATGATAGCACACTGAGGGACTCTAATCCAGTCCTTCTGGAGGACTTCCAGGAAGAAGCAGTAACTAAGCTAAAAGCTGAAGAGTGACTTCAAACGACCCGTGAGAAGCTGGAAGGGGTTTGTAGACAGAGAGAATGGCACATGCAAAGGACCGGAGGGCAGACAGAGTACGGTGAGAGCATTCGGGAGAACTGTTCCCTGTCAGCTGCAGAGCGCCACGTGGGGGAGGTGGCCAGAGATGCGGGAGAGGTAGTCCCAGGCCAGACTAGCAGTCTGAACCCCTATGCTTATTGATAGGCGGCTTGGAGAGTTTTGCAGGTTGGAAAAATTAGTCACACTGGTGGACAATGGATTGAAGAGAGAGGGAGACAGAAATAGGGTCAATGCCACTCAAAGTGCGGCCTGGGGCCAGCGGCCATAAACCGTCAGTTAGTGCTTCTTGAGATGAGAAGGTAGCCCCAGAGAGGAGGCCAGCTCTGGCACTAAGTGCGCGGGTTAGTTCAGCCGATGCGTTTCCCGGCTGGATTTTCCGGACGGTTCGCACTCTGGCCCAGCCCCCTTTCTGTGAGCAGCACCGAGTCAGGTGGCTGCGGCAGTCCAGGCGAGGGGCCGCGGGCGGCGGGCGAGGTGGGGAGAAGTAGGCAGACCTGAGAGAGCTTTACAGGGCCAACTGACAGAAATTAACTGATTGGACCAGGACAGAAAGGAAGAAGAAGGATGACGCCCAGGTCTCTGTTTCAGCAACTGAGCGGATCTCTCACTGAGATCACTCTGCAACCTGGTGACAACGCTTAGTGACCAGTCAGTGTGCTACAGATTCTTTCAAAGCTTTACAACACTACAAAAGGTCAGAAATAAGACCACCCTCCATCCGATCCTCCCCGCAGCTCTCTAAGGTGGGGAGGGACACTGAGGAGCCCCTCTGCCACACTGGAAAGCAGGCGGAGCATAGCTAGAGGCTTCCTGGGGACACCCAGCTGGGGCGGGGGCAGGCTCACCCACAGGTCCCGCCCCTGGATGAGGAGCCTTGCGGAGAGACCGGGCCAGGGCTTTGTGAAATCTTCCCTCCCGGGAGAAGCTCATCCTAGAGAAACGGAACCCTCAGCGCTGCCCACCACTGGGGCCTCCAGGGACCCCCGGCCTGCCGTACCGACGACCATGATGTTGAAGTCGAACCCGGTCTTCATGGTCTTCTTACGCATCTGCTCGATGATGGTGTCGATGCCAATGTAGCCCAGCAGGTTGGAGTTGATGCTGACGGGCTTCATGGGCACTGCCGGCTTCGGCCTGGGCTCAGGCACCAGCTCTGACATGGCTGCGTCCGTCCTGGTGTCTGGGAGCCCTGAAAACCCAAGTGGGAGGGCTGGGCTGCAGAGGCCGCACAGAAGCCACAGCGTTATTCCCCAGACACAGAATCATCCTGAGCTGGGGCTGCAAGGGACCTGAAATGTCATCCAGCACAGGTCCCCCATTTCACAGATGAAGAGGCGGAGGCCTGGCAGAACGGACTTGCCTAAGAGGACAGGGCGAGCCAGCTGCGAGACCTGGACTGGAACCAATGCTCCAGTCGCTGTGGCCACTTCAAATGCACTCACTGCTCCAGAGCACCATGTCTGCGTGGCTGACCCGAGGTTTCCTCCACATCGGCACTACTGACACTTTGGGCGGAACCGTTACTGTTGGGGGTCGTCCTGCGCATTGTAGAATGTTTAGTCACATCCCTGGCCTCTACTAAATGCCAGTATAGCCCCCCAGCAGTGACAGCCAAACATTTCTTCAGACAGTGCCAAGTGTCCCCCGGGGACTACATGGCCCTCCCTGTGGAGAACCACTGGTCTAAGAGACAATGGGAATTACTGCCACCTGACCTGGCCGCCCAAATAAAGGGCAAAGACCATTTAGGATCCGGGACCTAACGTCTATTGACTGTCCTCTGTTGCTTTGTCTTTTAAAAGCCAATGGAGCTACTGCCTCTCTGCAGAGCGAGCATCCATCCTGTCCCCTCTGCTCCATGGGCACCACTGCAGAGTCGGGGTGTCTGTGCCCCGGGGAGCCCCAGGCACCGTCCTGGCCACAGTTCTGAATGCGCGGGAGGCGCACGTCTCTGCTTTTGACTGCAGGGACCGGTGAGACCCAGGTCGGGGCAGTCTCTTGCCTGAGGTGATGCAGCGTGTTGCTGGGATGGAGGGTGGCAGAGGAGAGGGGAAGCTCAGGAACAGCCCTGCTCCAGGGGGCCAAGGCACACACCCCCTGGGTCTGGCCGGTCACAGACATCTCCACACACAAGAGAAACCTGTGTGTTTCCCCGTCAGGCCGCCGCCCACTAGGCTAGGTTCCAGGAGCACAGCTGTGTTGTCCCATCCATAAAACGGGGTGTGTGGGGGGTGAGGGGGAGGAGCCTGGCTCTGCCACTCGCCAGCCCTGTGGACTCGGACTGCCAGAGCCTCTGCGCCCAGGAGCCCGCGGCGAGCCGTCCGTGAGACATGCCGCCTAGACGCACCCACACCACGCCTCACAGCTCCTCTCCCTCCTGCCCTAGCCCTTTCCAGGGTCACTGACTGGGTGGGGGGGAGCGGAAGGGGTGCATGCGAAAGCACTTGTCAAAGGGAGGGACCCAGATGCTACTTACACCGCACAGTCATTGGGCTGCGCACTGTCTCGGGCAGCCCTTCCAGCCTGCCCTGCAGCCTCAGGCTCCCAGGCGGGCTGATGGAACAGCCGGTGGGCAGGAGGGTGAGGGGATGGGAGGGCCGCCCTCCCCCGGCCCCAAGTCCAGCCAGGAGACTGTTCTCATACCCAACCACCTGGTCCTTCCAGGGTCCTGGCAAGACTCTCTCCCCCAATGGGAAAATGTTCTTTCCTTGTCACTCGCAGGCACAGCCAAATCTGACAAAGCTTTGGGCCTTCCCGGGGCCTGGCCAGGCTCCCTCCTGCTTCCCAGGAAGCTGTTGCTGGCCAGGCGGCTGGCAGCGAGAGGCTGGCTCAGCCCCGCAGCAGCTGACTCTCGCAGCGGGCGCTCCCCACTCTCAGCACGGGGCCGGCCGCTCAGCACACCTGCCCTGGGGCCAGTGCCCCGTCCTCCCTGCCCAGCTGTGCACACGCTGGCCCTTCTGATTACCCTGTGCCTCCACAGCTGAGCCCATTTGGTCTCCACACCTGGAAAGTGAGTCTTGTACTTATTTATGGGAGTTTGTCTGGGTATTCTTATAAAGCGGGTTTCCTCACCGTGGCCAGGCCTGCTGCAGGCTCGGTGCCTGAACAGACATCACCTCCTTTCTCCCAGCAAGTACCTACTAACACCCACTACACTCACCGTAAAGAGCACTTGCTGGCAAGTCACTCCGAACACATTCCAGTTATGCACCAGTTCCATGCTACCAACCACCAGCCCCAAGTACTGCACACGTGGTGCGGGTCCGTGTCACAGCCTTTGCTGGGAGACCCTTGCCCACGCGAGCCCCTGGCTAATTCCTGCTCTTCTTTCACCGCCAGTTCATGGGCTACCCCTCAAGAAAACCTCTGCCTGCCCGTCTGGGTGGAGGTGCCCTCTTTCCGCGCTGCCTCAGCCCTGAGTACCTTGGTGTTCATTCACTCACTCATTCATTCATTCATTCCACCCACCCTGCCAGGCCATTTCACATGCTGTCCAAGGGGAGCCTGCTCCAGCCAAACTCTACACTAAATGCCAAGGACACTTTTGGCCCCCGGACAAGGTTATCGCCCCCGACAGCCCACTCTCTGGTGAAGCCGCCTGAAAAGCACACAGAGACCTCCAGGGCGCAGGACAAATGCTGCTCTGGAGCTCTGTAGGTCCACCCTCTGCCTAGAGAGCCCTCCCACCCCGCCCCGGCCCCCAGATGGGGAATCGGCCCAGGCTTGATTCCTGGCTGGGTGGCCCCTGTGAGCCTGACGGTTCTCCTCAGGAAAATGGGGATAGCACCACCTTGCTGGGTTGCTGTGAAGGGTTACACAAAAGCATGGACATAAATTACCTGGCATGAAACATATGCTCGTTTCGGCCCTTCTTAGGGCATGAGCCATGTCTTACTGATCTTTGTGCTCAATGTCCCGAGCATAACACAGGCACTCAGCAATGAATGAATGAATGACAAGTGAGTGAATGAATGAGTGAATGACAAATGAATGAATGAATGCCTCACTGCCAGGCAGATGTCATGTTTTTCCTCCCTCAGAAGCTCCTTTAACAGAGCAACTGACCCCCAGCCAGCAAACGGCGCCTGTGGACAGGCTACAGGCAAGGGAGCACGGTCTGTTTAAAAAGACCTGCCTTCTCCCCCCAACAGGGAGTGAAAGGGTCTGGCTCCTCAAGGTTGGGGAAGAGCTCAGGACAGGGCCACAGCGGGACATAGCTCAAGGATGCCACCCTGCCTAAATGGCCCTCAGAGCCCCTCGTAGGCCCCCAGCTCCCCCAGAGCCCTGGGAGGAGAGGCTGCAGCCCCGCTGCCAGGAGCCACCTGCCCCGCCGGTGCTCCGGGGAGAGGCATGGTCCCCCGGACTCAGTTTTGGCTGAGGACCCCGGAGAAGCAGCACCTCCGCGTGCCAAGCAAGGGCTCCGGTGCTTTCTTTTACAGACGAATGAATGGCTTTGTCTTTGTCTGGCCCAGGGACCCCACCCCTCAGTTGAGAAGGTGGCAGCAGTGGGAGGAGACCTTTCCAGAATAGCACCTGCCTCCTTGGCTTAGTGGGGTGGGGGGTAGGGAGGCTCTTCCTTCCTTCCTGAGCTGAAGAGCTTCCCCAGGCCCTACCCCCACCCGCGGAGGCAATTCCAGTCCACCCCAGCTCCAGCCCCCGCTCTCAGAACAAGAATCACAAAAGAATCACAAAAGACATCTTAGTCCTTACCTATTCCCACGAGCAAAAGGCCCAGGGACACCCCCTTCCCCCATCCCAGTTCCCTGGAGGCCAACGAGTTTCCTAGGAGACCACCAGCTGGTGCCTGTCTGTGCGTGGGGGAAGGGGTCTATCTATGTGTCAGCTCCTGGGTGTCGTATCTGGTGGTAGGTGGCCCTGATACCTGTGTGTGGTGTGCATGTGTGTGCGTGTCGCGGTGTGCTCCAGTGTGGGGCTTTCTATGCGCATCTGGGTCCCCACTCGTGTGTCCAGGGGGGTCTCTGTATCTCCCCGCATTCCTGTGGGTGATTTTCTCCGGGCATATATATCGTGGGGTGTGTGCTACCGTGTGTGCGTGTGTCTGTGCATATGTCACCGCGCGTGGGCTCCTCGGCGCAGCAACCCTCCCCCTGGCAGCACCTCCAGCCGGGCTTCACGGGGCCGTAGCCTCCTCCTGGCGGGCGCCGGTGGGCCGGCCAGCCGCCCTACCTTTGGACATGAATCCTCCTTTGTCTCCGTTCCTCCCGGGAGATGCTCAGGGCGCGGGGCTGCAAGGCTGAGCGGGGCGCGGGCTCCTCCCGGGCCGAGCGGCCCCTGCAGCCGGGCCTCGCCCCTCTGCGCTCTCCGCCCACCCGCCCGGCCCGCGGCCCGGCCGCGCCGCCCCTGCGCCCCGCGCCGCCGCACCCGCCCGGGATCTCGCCGCCGCTCGCTCGGCGCCGCGCTGCCCCTGCCCGCGCGCACCGATGCCGCCGCCGCCGCCGCCTCTGCCACCCGCACCACGTGACCCGCGCGCCCGCCGGCCCCGCTGAGAGCCCCTCCCCCTCCCACGGCACCGGCGCCCTCACCCGCTCCCCGCGCGTCCGCACGCAGGAACGGGCACCAGGCTGCGGGCGGCCGGGGAGACACGCAGGGGCGCTGTAACCGCGGACTCAGGATGCCAGGCCCGGGAAGGTGTCCGCATCCCAGCCCTGGTCCCTGCCCCTGGATCCGGCTCCGGCCTCTTACTCTCTAGGCTGGGGCGGGGCGGGGCGGGGCGGGGGGCGCAGGGGACCGGTGGCAGCAGCGGGCAGCGGTGCGCGCGCGTGAGTCACGCGGTGGTTGGCATATTGCGCTGCCCAGCGCGATTCTCCCCCGGCGCGGGTGCCTGTAGAGCCCTGAGTCAGGGGACCAGGTTCCAGGCCTGGCTCCGGGATGAGCCCTATGACCTTGAGCTGCACAGGAACTTTCCTGAGTCTTAATTTACCCATCGGAAAAATCTGTCATACATTCCATAGTGGACAGCCCTTGCCAGGCCCTGGGGGAACAGGGATGAGGATGACCACCCCTGTCCTCAAAGGGCTCTGGGTCTAGCAGGGGAGGCAGAAAGCTGGCCCGTCCTAATGCAGGGGGTGTGGTTGCCTGGGTGCTCTGGGGGCATGGAGGTGGGCACCTTGAGGAGAGAGAGACTGTGAAGGGGATCTTGGGATCTTGAAGGCAGCAAGGGCCTAGAAGGAAGGGCCAAAGGAGGGGGAGGGAAGGATGGGAAGGAAGGGCACTCTGTGGCGCGGGGGGGCAGCAGGGTGAGGCACCCAGAAGGGAGGGCTGCGTGGTGCTGTTGGTGGACAACTAGAGCTCCCCGGTGCACCTGAAGCAGGGGAAATTCCAGACAGGGATAGGGAGCTAAGAGGCTGGAGGAGGCTGAGGCCTTGGAAGCCAGGTGAAGGAGCTGGACCTGAAGGGAAGGTAACGGTGAGTCACTGAGTCACCAACGGTTAAGCTGAAAGTGCTGCCATCAAATATGGGAGTCCCGGTGGCAGCTGTGGGGAGGAGAGCGCCCTGGGGGGAGGGAGCTGTGGCATCCCCAGGCAGAGGGTGGAGAGCAGGGGACAGGCGGTTGAGGAGGTAAATCAACAACTGGAAATAAACTGGGTGGGATGGAGGCGAGGGAGGACAGAGGCAGTACCCAGGCCCCAGGTGCAGCGCGCGGGACTGGGGAGTGCGGGAGTCGGTTCAGGAAGGACGGGGCTGCCTCTGGACGTGGGTAGGCGGCCGCTGGGCGGTGGCTGTCCACACCTCCATTTCAGGAGCGAGGGCTGGGCTGAGGACGGGCCAGGGTGAGCTCCCCTAGACCATGCAGTGTGAGGGAAGGAGTGGGGCACCCGAAGCCCCAGTGAGGGTGTTGGACTGGGTGCCTTTCAAGCGCCTGCCAGAGCCAGGCTCTCTGAGCCTTGGAAATGTTGGGAATAAGATGCCCCAAAGTAGAATTCCAAGATCTGGGTTCCCACTAGCTTACAGCCACCAGCCAGCTGCATGACCTTAAGCACGTCACAGGCTCTCTGAGACCACAGGAACGTCTAGCACTTGTGCTGACCTGTTTACAGTTCTGTGTAAGACTTCCCTATATGCAAGTTTCCAACTCACTTTTCAGCAGTTGATCCTATCCCCCCCTAAAGGGACAGGGGTCGGGGACCAGGAAAGAGAATTCCAGGTGAGGCACCTTTTAAGCAACAGCGGTCTTCCTGGAAGGCTGGATGTGACTCGGGTGGCCTCAGGTGAGGTCACTGTCCACATCTAGAGGAGCGCAGCCATGACGACTGTTCGTTAGACCACCCCTTACTGAAGCGCAGGCCTGTTTCCACATAGGTGGTTTGCTTCAAAGCCGGACTCGCCTACAAATCACCTGATTATTCCAGCACTTCGGGGAACACGGAAACAACCATGGCAGATGCTAAAGGAAGGATTCCGCACGGCGGCTCCCCCACAGGCTCCCTGTAATCCTCCCTTCTGGTGACTTCCCTCAGCCTGACTCTGACTGGCAGGTTGAGACCCACCCAGCTCACGGCGCATCTCGTGTTCTGTCCTCAAATTTATTCTCTCTCCCCCCAGCGCATTTGACTCTGATCTTAGAGTTCCCCGACTCCCCCTGCCCCACCCCATTCCAACCTGTCCAAGTATAATCCATCTCCAGACCCTCCCACAACCCCCTCCTCCCCCTCCCAATTCCCAGCAGCCCAGCTAAGTCCTTTGCATTTACCTTTGGTTTCTCTGGCCAGGTGTGCAGCAGCATCTGCCGTGGAATGGTCCAGGCCTGGGTCTGTGCTTCTGCTTGACATCAGTGGGTAGGTGGCAATGTCTGATGTGGGCAGGTTAATGACACTCTCCAGTGTGGTCTCCTCAGTGGCTGGGTTTAGGTTGACCGACACAACCGAACCCATGGCTATGCCCAGTCTGTTTGCGTCCAAAGCAAGAGAATCTGTAGTTATGTCCAACCTGGCTGGATTCGCTCTGTCCAAAGCCAGGACTCTGTCTGGGCTGGCTGTGCCCAACCTGACCGGGCCTGGGGCTGCCAAATCCATGGCTGTGGCCCCTGTGGCTGAACACGGCTTGGCTGGGCCTGCCGTAGCTATGGCTTTGCCCAGCTTGTCTAGGTCAGGGGTTACCAGGTCCGCGACCCGGCCCCGCTTGGCTGGGCCCAGCCTGGCATCCAGAGCAAGGAGCTCTGTGCCTGCGTCCAACCTGGCTGTGTTTGGTGTGGCCAGGTTGAGAGCCACGCTAGGTCTGTTGGTGGCCATTGTGGCTACATGTCTGACTGTGCCAGGCCTCGTTGTGTCCAGAGTCGCCAGGTCCACAGCCATCGCAGGCTCCATGGTAGACGTGGCCCTTTGGAGAGGCAGCCGGGGCCTCGGGATACCCCTGGACCTGGACTTGCCTCTTCCTGGGGAAGCCCTGGTAGGCACGTGGGCAGGCGGCGGGACAGGGTGCCTCTGACCCGCCGAGCCCGGCCCCGCAGGGCCTGGCAGGCTCTGGGCTGACCGGGACTGGAAAGGCAGGGCCAGGTAGGAGCTCACCACGGGCTTCTCCACTATAGGGGTCCTGCTGGGTCTGGCCAGACCTGGGTTCCCCGGGCCCTCGGAGTGGACCTGGTCCCCTGGCACTAGGGTCACCGGCAGTGAGTCCAGAGTGGGCAGCCTCCCTCTTCCGTGGATGGCAGCCTCCCCGCCCGGAGCGGGCACCTTTCCCCATGCCTGGCTGTTCTGACGGAGCGTCAAGGAGATGGAGCTGAGCTTCCTGGGCACAAGGCTGTGGCCAGCCTCCTGTGGGGGCGCACTCCGGGCCCTGGCTCCGGGGCCTGGCCGGCCCGAAGCCTGTGGGATATGGCTTTGAGGGAAGGCATCCAGACGGATGGTCTTCCTGAGAACAGGGATGAGAGGGGACACCCCTCCAGGGAGCCTTGAGGGGCGGGCAGAGCGCCCCAGCAGGTGGCTTCGAGAGAAGGAAGTTCTGGGCCCTGGGGCTCCGTGTGGCTGCATCTCAAAGTCGTGGTCCATCCACGTCTTTCGTCTTCCCCTGAGATGATCAACAGAGAGAGGGGCCAAGCAGCGGTGACGTGCTCGCATGGAGGTGCCCGCCCTCCCCCGATGACCAGCAGCTAACATTGCCAGGTGTGAAGGGGCCCTGTTGGGGAGCTGTCAAGTCCTCAGTGGAGTCCACGTGTCCCTCCCTCCAGTCCTCCTACAGTTCCACCCGTGACATACCTACACACCCCTCACCCCCATGGGCCTCACACATACCTACCCAGGCACCACACGGGTGGATGTGGGTCAGCGTCCCAACAAGGGCGGCCTCCAGTGAACAGGCTGTTCCTTTTATGAGGGAACTGGGTGGAGGGGTAGCTCTCCCTTGGCCTGGGCCCAAGTATGTCCCCTCTCTCTGTGGATAATTCCGTGGCAGGGGAGGGGGGTGTCACATCCTTGTGCTCAGGGACTCCGGATAAGGACGGTGGTTGTCAGAAGCCTTTCTACCTCTGCCCCTTCTAGAAGGAGCCAAAGGGCACTGGGTCCCACCCACAGCAACCAAAATAGGAGTCGGGTGTCCAGGTAGGAGGCTGAGGGATGAGCAAAGGGTCACTCTGGAGCTTGGCTTGAGAACACGGTCGGCATCGGGGCCCCTGCCCCGCACCCGGAAGGAGCCCTGGGCTGGCCTGCTGCTGGGGCCGGCTTCGGAATTGGGGCCTGAGCTGAGGAGGGCCCCGGAGAAGGAGGGAGCTAAGTGGGGAAGCCACAAGTGCTCTCAGGAGGACACTTGCCCGGTGAACGAGGCCGGCCCTGCTGCCAGGGACCCACCAGGCAGCGAAGCAGGCAGAGCTGTGCTCGAAGGGAGCGCTGGGCCTGCGTGGGGGGACTTCACACAAAGGCCGAAGGTGGGCAAGCGCGGCGCTTTTCAGAGAGTCCACTGTGGGGATCCCTGGGCTGCACCTGGGAGGGGGAGGGGACGAGGCTGCAGGTACCCTGGAGCTCAGGCCAGACCACAATGGTGCTCAGGTCCTGGAAGATGACCCAGTCAGATCTGCGGGTGGGAAGGGTCATTCTGGGGCAGTGTGACAGAGCCATGAGAGGGGAGCATCAGTGGGGGCAAGGACATTGTTGAAACACTCTGTGGGCTGGGGGTGGGCGGAGAAGGCGGCTTAACACGGGGAGAAGCCCAGGACTGGCTGCAGGTGGGAAGTAGGGGAGAGAGGGGGTGGTCCAGGGCTCTGGCTGCTGGTCTGCGTGGATGCTGTTTCCCAGGGGTGCTCTGGGACCCCCAGATGGCCAGCTGGTACACACTCTGGGCTCCATGCAATTCACCCTCTGGAACAAAGCTGTTCCTG